TCTCTTGTGTGGGGGGGAAGCTTATTCGGCATAGTTTCCCTCAAGAGGGGAGCGAAGAGCAGAAGGTGCTGGGAGTAGTGCACATCGATCTCTGCGGGCCCTTTCGAGTTCCTGCGAAAGATGGCAGCCGCTACTTTCTTCTACTCAAGGATCGAAAATCTCGCTACGTCTGGCTCTACCCGATTGCGCAGAAAAGCGATGCTCTGCGTGTTTTCCAGAAGTGGCTTCCGCGTGCAGAGAGGCAATGTGAGGCTTCGCTGAAGGCTCTCCGCTCCGATCGAGGTGGCGAATTTTTGGGACATAAATTCACCGAGTTCCTCGAAGAGAAGGGGATTGAGCACGACCTCACCTGCCCCTATACGCCGCAGCAGAACGGGATGGCGGAACGTGAAATGCGGACTGTCGTCGAAGCAGTTAGGACGATGCTTCTGCACATGGGAGCCCCCCACCATTGGTGGCACCTTGCAGCTCTGCAAGCTGTTTGGGTGAGGAATCGTCTGGAACATTCCTCTCTGCCATCAGGGGTGACTCCTTATGAAGTGCTCTTCGGCAAGAAGCCTGACCTTGGGATGGCTCGAGTTTGGGGGTGTATGCTGCAGTACCTCCTTCCAGAGAGTCAGCGGGGGGGGAAGTTGGAGCCGAAAGCTCGTTGGGGTCTCCACCTGGGTGTCTCGCAGCAGAGTAAGGGGTGGTTGGTCCTCGATTTTTCGAGCAACCGTTTGATCACCACGGTCGAGGCCATCTTCTACGAGACAATGTCTCTTGCAGAGTGGAAGGCGACGAAGCAGAGTCCCATCGTCGACCGTGCTGCGCTCGACAATGTGGCATCCTTCCCGTCGGATCCTGCGGATGATGACGACGCTGATGACGAAATGACTAAGGCTCCAGCCCCTCTGCTCGTGCCCACGCAGATTCCTCGTCCGCAGCTGCCCACTGACATCCCTCCAGCGCAACTCTCGCCGTTGCTAGAGACTCCTCATGCAGAAGACACTTCTCCTGCAGCCGACGCTCCTTCCGCAGAGCAGGTTCCTTCTGCAGAAGACATTCGCTCTGACTCTTCTTCGACAGGGGAGCAGCTGTCGACTGCCTCTTCTTCGACGTTCTTTCCTTCGACTGAAAAATTGGTGCCATTGTCGACACTCCTTGGCGAAGAGGGGAGCAAATTGCCGATGAATGTCGTCGCCAATGAGCGTCGAGAAGTCGAACAGCCTGCAGACGAAAAATCCGCAGAAGAGCGATCCGCAGAAGAGCAATCGACAGAATATCGATCTGCAGACGAGCTGCCTGCAGAAGAAAATGTCGAAGAAGAGATGCCTGATTTAGAAGAAATTGCCGCAGAGGAGCAACCTGCAGAAGAAGGACCTGCAGACGAAACAGTTCGGGTTTCTCGTTATGGTCGAAAGATTGAGAAGCCACTCCGCTTCCGCGAAGGTCTAACGATGTTTACAACGACTTCGCTCGACGGCATGCATGAGGATGTAGTACAGAAAGAGCTCGACTCTGCTGACGAGTGCGTCGTCGACACGGATCATCGTTGGGACATTTCGACCATGACAGTTGCAGAAGCTCTGCGAAGCTGGAAGGGTGAAGCGGTCAAAGCTGCAATGGATGCAGAGATACAGACTCTCTACGATCAAGAGACTTGGGAGCTGGTTCCTCGTCCTCCTAGGGTTAATGTCATGAAGAATCGATGGGTTCTGACGACAAAGTACAACCCAGACGATACGGTCGACCGAAAGAAGGGTCGACTTGTCGTCAAAGGATACACGCAGACCCATGACGAATTCGACGCTATATCTGCCCCCGTCGGAAGCTACGGAACTGCTCGGATGCATCTGTCGAACGCAGCTGACGGAAATTTGGAGTTGATGCAACTCGACATGACAAATGCATTTCTGAATGCGAAACTTGATCGTCCTCTCTTCATGGAGCAGCCCGAGTTCTACAACGACGGGACGGGTCGAGTCTGCATGCTGAAGAAAAGCCTGTATGGACTGAAGCAGAGTCCGATGTTGTGGTACGAGGCCCTCGACGAAGTGCTGGAAGATGCAGGATGGTCGAAGAGTCAGGTCGACGAAGCTTTCTACTTCCACGAGGACGAGAACCACGACATGTGCTGGGTGCTCGTCTACGTCGACGATCTGCTCGCCGCGAGCCGCAGCAAGGAACATCTGGCAGAACTGAAGGCGCTGCTCGAAAACGCCTTCAAATTGCGGGAGATCAGCCCTGTCAACAAGTACCTGGGACTTGAGCTGATCAGAGACAGGGAAGCGGGGAAGATCTGGCTGCATCAGAGAGGCTACATCGACAGGGTGCAGAGGCGTTTTCTGCCAGAAGGACCTCCTCAGCGAGTCCCGAAGACGCCAATTTCGGTCGACGCCTTCAAGGTGCTGACATTTGATGACGAGAAGTTGCAGGCGCGCACAGAAGAAGAGTATCGGCAGAGGGTCGGCTCTCTGCAGTTTGCTGCGTGCACTACTCGCCCCGACATCTCCTTCGCCTGCAGCAAACTTGCGTCTGGTCAAACGGTTCGAAGCGACCAGCATTGGAGGGAGCTCGACCGCTGCATTGCGTACCTTGTTGGGACGCGAGATGTTGCTCTCGAGTTCGGCGGCGGAAATGGAGAGATGCGTCTCGTCGGCTTCGCAGATGCAGACGATGCAGGAGACAAGCAGAATCGCAGCAGCACGGGTGGCTACATTTTCACTCTCGGTGGAGCTGCTATTTCATGGGCAAGTCAGAGGATCAGGTGCATCACTCACTCTTCTACAGAGTCGGAGTACATCGCTGCAGTGGAGGCTGGAAAGGAGGCTAGAAAGCTTCGTTTTCTGATGGCAGAGTTTCGCATGCTCGACGAGACGTCACCAACGATTATACACGTCGACAATCAATCTGCGATTTCTGTGTCTGAAGGAATGGGGCTCAAGGGAAAGCTGAAGCACATGGAGCGGCGCTACATGTGGCTGCAGAGCATGGTGAAACGTCGCAAGATGAAGCTGCAGTACATTCCGACGACCGAGCAGCCGGCAGATTACTTGACGAAAGCACTACATTTCCCTGCGTTCAACAACTGCTTTAAGAAAGTTGGTCAAGTAAGGCTTTCGGCGAAGGGGAGCAGTGCAGAGGGTCCTCTCGATGAGGAATAGGTGCCATGACCTTTTCATGGCTGGTGCGGTGATGGTGTGCGAATTGCAGACTTCTGCAATTCTTGTGTGTTTCTTGTCCGCATGTTTTTCTTTCTTTCTTTATTTCTGTTCTGCTCTTGTGTGTGGTGTAGATGGGTCAATTTCCTCTGCGACGACCAGCATGATCAGTGCAGGGGAGTGTTGAGATTGCACTGACCCTGCAGAGGGTCGTCGAGTTCTGCAGGGACGCGAAATTCTACCGAAGCGGAAATTCGCAGAGGACAGGGCGGAGCTCTGCACTGCAGCAGAAGTACTTCGCAGAAGCGGAAATGAACTCCTGCTGCAGAGGAACGCGTGTCTGCAGAAATTGAGTCTGCAGAAGAGGGCAAATCTGCAGAGCAGATCGTGGTGCTGCAGAGGAGGGCGTATCTGCAGAGATTTCGGAGCTGCAGAAGAAGGCGCATCTGCAGAAACGAAATTCTGCAGAGGATCACAATTTCGACCGGCGAACCCTTCCGACGCGAAAACGCGATCGTTTCGGAACATTTGCGTGGGAATTTCGGAACATTGCGGACATTGAGAAATTGACCCCCGGAAACAGTGCGTGAACTTGGGGTGTTCAATCTGGGGGCGAATTGAACCACCTGAGCAAACTGAACCTGGCGCACGTTTTCGTAACTACGAAAACGTGCGTTACAAATGTTGTTTAAAACAACCTGAACAGTTAAAATAACTACTTTTAGGTAGGTAAAAATTACCAACTAAGCATGTGTTGTAATTTTCACCTGCCGATGCTGACTTGGCAAAGCGCAGCTAAGTAGTAGTTATCTAAACGTTTTGGCGAGAACATTCTCTTGTTAGGTTCAGTGGTTGGGTAGTTCTTTACCCCTTGTATTCTATCTTTCATTCTATTCTAGTGAATTTTCTGTGTGTGCCAAATCTATGCCTTCAAGGACTTAGACAAATTTCTGTCTCCTTAGTGAACCACCAATATCGTGTCTACGCAGAAAGCATTCCGTAGAGCTCGTTCATCCGTTAGAGCAGAAATCTCTGCACACTTTTCAAGTTAAACTGTTTATGAAAATCCTTACTAAAGGAGGTCTCCGAGAGCAGTCTGGTGCGCGCCCTTCAATCAGCAGCAACTACAATTTCCTGGCTAGTTTTCAGCTTTGGTTCGCGCCGAGGGTCTGAGGCAGACAGCGTAGTTGTGCTGTTAGGCGGCGTAGCATTCCTTCACTTTCATCGATATCATTCCGAATTCATGAACCGTCCGGCTGATATAACCTCCTGTTTGCGCGCGCTTCTCCATTTGAGATTGGATTGGAGTCAGTTTATTTTGGATATTTGGTCCTCTGAAACAGCTACAGCCTCCACGTACTCCTCTGGCCAATCCCGAATTGAGTAAAACCGCAGGTATTAACACCTCTGAGCGACTTTTGGGACAGAGTGGGTAAGTGGGATAAGTGGGTTTATTGGGGAGGTGCACCTTTCAACCCATCCACCCCCACCCGTCCTCCTCCCCTCCTCCCTCCACCCAGCAAGTTGCTGTCTAGGATGGTATCACAAAGACAAAGTCTGAGCCGATCACATATCCGCTTTAGAGGCCACTTCTGGGCCACATTGCCCCATCTTTAAGGTAATTTTCCGAAATTAAAAGGGTCAGCCCAGATAGTTCATCTGAGTTCATAAGATTCTGGGAAAACTTTCCAGACCTGAAATTCACAAGAGCCGCTCTTGCAGTAGCGACTTGGGGGGGACGGATCCAGTGCAGCGACTTCTGGTGTGGTAGTAGTTGGTGTAGTTTTGTAGTGCCACAAGCAGATGAAAAAGAGGCAGGGTGGGAGAGCGGAGGTTAAATTACAACGGCAACAGACAATGACGCGAAATCAGCCTGATCGGAGGCAGATCATGCAACCAGAGCAGCAGCAGATGCAGCAGCAGCAGATGGCACGGCAGTTTGTACCACAGCCAATCTATACAACACAACCGCAAAAGCTACAGCCACAGCTACAGGCTAAGCCAGTGTTCATGGAGATACAGCCGCTGCTACAGACACATCTACTGCAACGTGAGACTGCTGCTGGTGCAAGACCATCGGCTTCTGGAGCCAAGCGCACGACACTGACGCGCAACCGAAACTACAACCAGGAAGGGAAGTATCGGGGAGTGAGGAAGCGAGGGGAGTTGAAGTACGTTGCAGAGATTAAAGACACCACTATTGGGGTCCGCAGGTGGTTGGGCACGTTTACCAGTGCAGAGGAGGCTGCTCGGGCGTTTGATGAAGCTGCTTTCGACCTCCGAGGATCAAATGCAAAGCTTAACTTTCCGAGAGATCATATCACGGAAAGGGGAGGAGTACTGAGTTCTTATCCTCCAGAGCTAGGAGCAGCTACGACGCAAACGGCAGGAAGGGAGGCAGGTAATATTGCTGAGAGTAATGGCATGGGAGTTCCAAGGAATATGGAGTCTTTACCAGCACAGGTGGAGAAGGGGGGGTCTACGAGCTCTGGTGCTCTATCGTTTGGAGAGGGAACAAGTAGAACGGTGGGTGTGGTGGCAGCAGAAGCAGGCGGAGGGTCAGCGGCTGTACTAGGGTCAGCGTTACCAGTTGAATATGCAGACGAGGGAGAAGGAGGAGGAGGAGGAAAAGGGGGAGTGGGAGGAGGAGGAGGAGGAGGAGGAGGAGGAGGAGGAGGAGGAGGAGGAGGAGGAGGAGGAGGAGGGAGTGGGGTGGGAGGGGCGTGCATAGCAGCAGAAGCGTCAGCAGTCAGTGATCGGAATGGAGCTTATTCTCCTGATTGCAGCTCCACTGTCAGCAGCAGCAGCTCCGACAGAACCGCCCCTTTTGCCTCTGCCCCTTCTCCCTCTGTCCCTTTCTCCTCTGCTTCTTTCTCCTCTGCCCCTTCTGCCTCTGTCGCTTTCCCACACTCCACCCTTCCTGCCACCTCTGCTCCTTCCACCTGCACCGATGGGCTACACTCCACCCTTCCTCCGTCCACCCCTTCCATCCCTGCCTCTTTCCCATACTCCAGTCTTCCTGTTACCTCTACTCCTTCCACCTCCAGCAATGTGCTACACTCCAGCCTTCCTCCTTCCACTGCCCCTTCCATCTCTACTTCTTTCCTACACCCCACCTTTCCTGCTGCCTCTGCCCCTTCCACCTCCTCCGATGTCCTACACTCCACCCTTCCTCCTTACACTGCCCCTTCCATCTCTACCTCTTTCCTACAATCCACCATTTCTGCTGCCTCTGCTCCTTCCACCTCCACCGATGTGCTACACTCCACCCTTCCAGCCACCTGGGAGTACAACGTCGCAGTATCTGGGAAAGTGATGATGCATGGAGGGGATGCATCCCAACAAGAAGCAGAGGAGATGGTGGAGGTACCCAACATGATGGCAGGCCCAGCTGCAAACATGCTCACAAGCTGGCATGCTGAGATGATGCAGCATGCACCTGCCATGGTGGCCCCGTTTGAGTCGCTCTGGAGGCGTGACCATGGCATGCAGTATGGGTTTACCATGTCCCGCATCTCTTCTATATGTGTCAGACCGCCGCGTCAGCGTCATCAGACACAAAGGCTGCAGCAGCGGCAGCGACGGCGGCAGCAGCAGCAGCAGCAACAGGGGCCGCAGCAGGGTCAGCAGCAGAAGCAGCAGCAGCAGCAGCAGCAGCAGCAGCGCCATGCGTCAAGCTTCTGGCAACAAAATTCTCTGGATTTGACATCTGACAGGAGGGGTAAGGCAGCTGCATGTAACCCTTCTTCAGACCTCACAGGTGCACCTTTCCCCATGGATTATTGGAGAGAGAAGCAGACTGTTTGGAGCCACACCACAGACTTGGAAAACAACCACCCAGCCAACAAGATCTTCAGCTCTTCACTGTCAGATTCTGTACTGAAGCCCCATCACAAGCCTCATTCCGAACCTGCACCTCTGATGTTTCGAAGCCACAGCGTATCTTCCCCCTTGGAGCTGCGGTTTTCCATTTCATCAACCCCTGAGTCCCAGACGTCTGTCGGAAACACTGGTGGTGTGGGTGATTTGAGTGCTGCAAGTAATGCTGGTGCTGCTTGTGGTATGGGTGCTGTGGGTACTAAGGGTAGTGCTGGTCGCGTGGTTAGCAGTGCGGCGGTTTTTGGTGCCAGTGTTGCTGGTGCTGCAGGTAAGGCTGGTGTTATCGGTGCTGCTGGTGTTGATGGTGCTGACCATCAGGATCATCAGCAGCAGCAGCAGCAGCAGCAGCAGCAGCAGCAGCAGCAATCACATACCATGCAGCACCATCATTTGCAAGTAGTGCAGCAGCAAGAGCAGTGGCAGGATCATCGTCACCAGCAGCAGCAAGATCATCATAACCAGCAGCAGCGGCAGCAGTGCCGTGCATCCCGCGTCTTGCAAAAAGGCTCTCTGGATCTGATGTCTGGAAAGAGCAAGGCAGCTGCATGGAGCCCTTCTTCAGACCTTACAGGTGCACCTTTCCCCATGACCGAGTGGAGGAAGTTGCAAACATTTGGGAGCCGCACCTCAGACTTGGAAATCAACCACACAGCCAACAATATCTCCAGCCCTTCATTGTCAGACTCTCTACTCAAGTCCCACCATAAGCCTCATTCCGAACCTGCACCTCTGATGTTTCGAAGCCACAGCGTATCTTCCCCCTTGGAGCTGCGGGTTTCGAGTTCTTCAACCCCTGAGTTCCAGCCCTTTGTGGGAAGCACTGGTGGTGTGGGTGACGTGAGCGTTGCAAGTGGTGCTTTTGCTGCTTGTGGTATGGGTGCTGTGGGTTGTACGGGTGTTGCTTCCAGTGTTGCTGGTGCTGCCTGTGTTGCTGGCACAGCTAATAATCCGGGTGTTGCCAGTGCAGCAGGTGTCGCCCTTGTTGCTGGTGTTGCCAGTGATGCAGGTGTTGCCAGCGATGCTACTGTTGCCGGTGCTGATGTTGCCGGCGGTGACCAGCAGAAGCAGGAGCAGCAGTCACATGCCATGCAGCAGCAACAGTCGCATGCCATGCAGCAGCATGAGTTGCAATTTGTGCAGCAGCAAGAGCAGTGCCACCACCGCCACCAGCAGCAGTCGCATCCTATGCAGCAACAGCAGCAATTACCCCTCACGCCCTTCCAGCCAGTCCTCCCATCCCTCGAACAGTCTTTCCCCCCCAAAACACCTGCTTCTATGGCCCCCACTCTCACAGCTCCTAATAGCATTCCTGCTGACATTTCTGGAGGCTCTTGTGCTGCTGCTGGCGCTGCTGCGGACTCTGCTGCACCCATTGCTACTTGCGCTGCTGCAGGAGTTCTGATCCTTCCTCCTCCTACCTCTCCACCTACCATCTTTGATTGTACGGCCAGCTTGCATGGGTTCCAGAGCAAAGAGCAGGGCTATATGGCAGCCTTGAAGCAAGCTGTCTATGGGAAAACTATCTGCACGGAGTTTGGAGGTGCGGACAGCAGTGGCGGAGCAGTTTTCATGCATGACTGTGCAGCAGCAGGCTTCGAAGCGCAATACACTGCTGTTGCTGCAGAGCATAGCAGTGTGGAGCAGACTGGTGTGGTCCAGCCTAGTGCGAATCAGCCTAGTGCGGATCAGTTTGGTGCGGATCAGCCTCCTTTTGGCGAACTGTGTTCTGCCCATATCATGGCAGATTCGGACCGTCCTCTTCCTCAATCCTCTGTGGATCTGCTGCTTCTTGAAGAGGGGCAGCACGCTGCGTTTGCTGCCATGGACGTCACTACACCGTTTTCTCACATTGAAAAGACAGCTCGTTGCGGCTTTGAGGACTCTGCTTGCTCTGTGCCTTTTATAGGAGCAACAGATGTAGGTTTGGATCTTGGAGGAGAGGCTATGGATGTGGGAGGGTTGGGGTATGCAGAAGCTTTCCAGCATTTGTGTGTGAGTGCCACTGATGCTGGAATGTGCACTATTGATCCGCTAGAACTGTTCTTGATGGATAATGGAGAATAAGCATAGTGGTGGGAAGTTGATCATGTTTTAGGATAGGAATATTCTTTCATTTCATCTTATAGCAAAATAACAAGACAAGGCCCTAGAAATGGGAGAAGAAAGATGGCACGAGGCAGACGGGGAAGGATGGGGAACACGGAATGAATCCAATGGCTCTTGTCGGGCTAGTAGTAGCAACATTTTTTGTTAGAAGTGTATTGCTTCAATCCATGCAGCGAATGGTGATGCGTGTCCAGTATGCAGGGTAAAACAGTCTTCCCCCATGATCAAGAGTGAGTGAGCTATGAAAGTCCATGAATACCTTTCACTGATAGCATGCTCAATCTTAATATCACATTCCTTCTCCTCCTTCCATCCCTAAATTTTTCCAAAACAGTGCCCGTCGGAGATGATAAGTACCGTAACTCCCCCAGATGGCCACAACGGCTATTTTGCACCCTTGTAAGTTTATTCAAGTAGGGTGTCATATCAAATTATTCGATTTCAGTAGAAATGAAAAGTCCCTACGCAAGATGTGTTTTTGCACACGAATTCAGTTGATGCGTCAGGAGCATATTTGACGCACATGTTTCTGCTACACATTTCCATTAGGTTTCACCCTGACATGGATTTGTCACCATAGCAAATCATTTCCGCCGATTGCAAAATTACAAAGCAAATGGGATATGTTGAATGGAAAGGCTCTACGATCACGACATTTTAGTTACATAAAATTGCATGGTTTTAAATATGGTATAAAAACCATACAAGTCACTAGGAGCATCTATCAGGGGATGAACCGTATAGTACATGGGCCCATATATGAGGATGTGACATATGAAATTCAACACGCTGACATTGACTCGTAAATTCGTGAATGGCTTCGAGTTGAGTTGGCAAGCAAGAGAGTTGAGTCGAGGAAGCGAGGAATCATGCAAGGCGAGGGTGAGAGCAAGCATGAGAGGCGAGAGAAATTGATACATAAGAGGTCAGGCCAACTTATTGTGTCTGAGCCCCTCTACTAAAGCTTGCACGGATGGTCGACATGATAAAAGCCAACGTAATGACAAACGGTAGACATGTAGGAGTATAGCATAATACATAACCGAAGAAAGGTCATGGATTAGCTTGGATGAAGCTGACATCGCTGACCGTTGCGCAAGGTGTGCAGCCAGCTTTGTTTCATGGACAGTGCCGAATTGAAGGTTGATGTCTGCTGGTTTGGTCAGCCGACTTTGGTGTAGCCGACCACTGCAAATCTAACATCAACGAAGTCGACATCAGCGAAACCGACATCGACGCTAGCCGACGGAGTGAGGTCGGTGGATGACATCGAGCCTCGGCGAATGTGTTCGTCGGCGGAGCCAACCTACGGGCAGCGACTGACCGTCGAAGTTGGCACCGACTTGGCGACCTCTTTTAGTCGGCCAAGTAACTGGTCGACGAAGTTCTGCCATGGTGTGCGGACTTCGTCCCATAAGGTTTTGACAAATATCGACATGCGGGTCGGCAATCATGTGCGTGGCGACCTGACACATGCGTACTATGTATTGCGTAAAATTGCACCGCCCTTGCTTGGGTGAAGCTGACTATGCAGTCGGGTGCGCGGAAGGTGCGGCTTAGGATGGCTGGCCGCACGATGCGGTCGGTTGCCCGTAAAGGTCGACGCAGACTTGGGCGAGCAAGTAGACAAAGTTGGTCGGCCTATGCGTGACCTTTGTAAAGCCGCCGACAAAGGAGGCCGACGACCAACTTCAACCTGGGTGGCCGACACAGGAAAGTCGGCGGACTGTGTCGACCAGGGCGGTCGTGCAGCAGTTGGCGGGTATGCTTGTAATAATTCCCTCCAACCCAAGTTTCGATTTGTGGACCTAGCTGCTTGGGCAGCTTCGGGGCTATTTCATACGGTAGGGATTAAACTGGCCCCTGTTTGTTCCTCGAATACGTTTTCAAGGAGTGAAATTATCGAAGAACAAGTGTGAACAGTTGTAGTAGTGTTTTCTGTCCCCATTGATGCTGATTCTGTGTGTTACAGTAATATTTCTGAGATTCCATATTCGATGGTTGTACAGTTACTTTGATCGAAACGCGGCTTCTACTGTTTCCACAGCTGTCAAACAGAATCCTAATCACCTTGCATTGTGAGAAGATCATATTGCATCTAGCTTGTGGTGTGGTGAGTGGTGACTCTCCAAGGTCCGGAAAAGCTAGGGCGGCCACAGCAATGGCACTGGGTTTTTGCTATCGAACAGCGCCAGAAATTCTGTTGTACACGCCAATGTAGTGCAGCGTCGGTGCCGGCTCCCAAAACCACACTCTTGTAATGTACACCAGCATGGTTGGGCGATCGCCCCAAGGATCCACAAAACCACATCATCGCATCGAGAAACACCAATCAATGCCACTCAGCACAGAACTGTGGAAGTCCGAAAACTTTAGCTGTACAGTGACTCTCCCCGTGGCTTGGGTTCACTCCCCCTAGACAACACCTGTGTGTGTGTGCGGGGGTCTAGTTACACCAGTGAGGAGATAAAAAAGAGGGGGTCTATGTGGTGAATGGGCGGTAAAACGGGTTGTGTGATGACCAAACATTTCTCCACTGTACATTCAATTGTTGCCAATCGATGTCCTTGACCTGTGTGTGTTCATTTTTCCATACCGCCACGTCTTCATCATGTCCAACATCTTCCTTTACAAGCTCGAACTGCACTGGTTTGGAACGTCTGTTCATGTGTACTGTATGCACATACGTGCTGAAACGGTTTCTGTCGTGTAATCCATAAACCATAACAGCTGCATGGTCCGACAGACCGTGCAAGTGGCTGGATGAACTCGCTGTCACGTCACGTGGAACGAGAAAACCAAACATCCAATCAAAACGATGAGACAGGAGACGTGACGTGAGATGAGATGAGAACTCCATTGGAACGGGTGTAGCACGCTTGGAGGAACGTGCTGATCGAAGTGGCACTGCGACCTCCACCAACACTGATCACCTCTCTCCTTTTATTTTTGCTTCAATATTTTTTTAACTGGTTTTCAAATTCCCCCATGATCCGGGGCTTCCGTGAGTAATCATTCGTATGGCTTGGGAGCTTTATAAAAGGCTAACAATTACTCAAATGATCAAACCCAAGTTGATAAATCATAGGAATCAAAATCGATATCTGTAGTTGTAAAACTCTGTAGGCCCTTGGGTGTTACCCCTGTTGTCAGCCGCCAAGGACAGAACACAAAAACCGTTCAGCATGGAATTGAGGTGTAGCAAAGTTCCGGCAAACACTGTTCTGCTCTCTTCCAAGAGTCCTTTTCTCAAGCTCCAGAGGAGCAACAGAGCATTTTCAGACCAATTTGTGCAGGAAGCAGCTTTATCCAGAATCACACGTGTTGTACCTAGAACAAGTGAGGAGGACTGTGCCTTTCTTCTGAACCATGAACACGATGAGTAAACTCTGCTCCGAGTTGAGTAGAAAATGCAAAAATGCATCCACTGGCAGTATCACGGTTTTTTCTCCACTTGAGGCGACATCTACAAAATGTGTTGCTCCGAACGCACCCGGAACTGAAATATCGGATATTGAAGGCCGCTGGTGGGATCACAGGCGCTCAGTCTTCTCGTGCCCTTGAAGACTGCTTCGAGTCATAGAGGAAAAATAGATAATTGCAGAGGAAAATTTCGCTGCATAGGATTAGATTTTCAACAGTGCATACCTAGTACTAATATCTACTTCCTGCCGTCCTAGTGTCTCTTAAGGACTTGCCTCCTGTCCATTAGGTAATGTATTGCTTGCTTTTTACTCAGATTCACTGTGTCACTGTGCCAGGAGAACAGGGCCATACAACCACAGCAAACAATCATTGAATGAAACAGCTGCAATCCGAGCGGCAGGGAATGCACCAGCGGCAGATCCCACAGCAGCTGCCACGACAACAGCCGATGCCACAGCATCAGATGCCACAGCAGTTTCCATCCCCACAGCCCAACACAACACTCCAAGCTCCAGAGCTAGTAGTACAGCCATTGGCACATGATCATTATGATATTCCACCAGCACTACTAGGACAAGGGGAGGCTGCTGTTGGTGTAAGGCCATCATTGGCCTCTGGAGCCAAGCGCACGACACTGACGCGCAACCGAAACTACAACCAGCAAGGGAAGTATCGGGGAGTGAGGAAGCGAGGGGCGTCCAGCTACATCGCAGAGATTAAAGACACCACTCATGGGGTCCGCAGGTGGCTGGGCACGTTCAACACTGCAGAGGAGGCGGCTCGGGCGTTTGATGAAGCTGCTTTCAACATCCGAGGATCAACGGCGAAGCTTAACTTTCCGGAAGATTATGTCGACGTCGTCGAAAAGAGAGAAATTCTGGATTGCAATCCTGCAGAGCTCGAAGCGGCGGCGGCTAAGACGATGGAGATGGTGGGGAGGGAGGCTGGTGGTGAGAGTAGAAACCCGGGGATGCTGAAGGATGGGACATCCCTAATAGGACCGGCTGGAGAGGGCGGTCCTGCATCTACAAAATTGCGTACCAGTGGTAGCGCTGTAGGGAAAGGGAAAGCAGCCGCACGTGATGAAGATGCTGGAAAAAGGAGATGGGTGGCAGTGGATTTGTCTGAGGGAACAAGTCGGTCAGTGTCAGTTGCTGCTACAGAAACAGGTGCGGACTTAGGGAAAGGGGGGGGAGGAGGAGGGGGGGGAGGAGGAGGAGGAGGAGGAGGAGGAGGAGGAGGAGGAGGAGGAGGAGGAGACGGAGGAGCGGCAGCAGCAGCAGCAGCAGCAGAAGCAAGAGCAGGAGGGGTATATGTTGCAGCAGAGGCTTCAGAAGTCAGTAGAGCAGGACCAGCATGCACCCCTGAAGGAAGCTCCACTTTCAGTAGCAGCAGTTCAAGCTTAGCCGCCCCTTTCTTCTCTACCCCATCCGCCTCCTCTTCCGCCTCATCCACTTTCCTACACTCTACCTTTTCTGCTACTGCTCCTTCAACATCTGCCTTTATCTTTCACTCCACTCTTCCTGCTACCTCTGTCACTTCCGCCTCTGCCTCTTTCCTACAGCCCACCCTTCCTGTCAACTCAGCCCGTTTCAAGTCTGCCTCTTTCTTACACTCCACCCCTCGTACTATATATGCCGCTGAGAATGCACTCAACAACCTTCCGCTCCAGGTCACGTGTCCAGCTTATACTGGTGTAATGCATGCCTCTGCTGTCACACCAACCCTTGGTGGTGATACCATGGGATGTTGTTCCTGCCAGCAGGAGGATTCCTCATGTGCTGGAGTAGACGGGAGTGGGTTTATGGGACTTTACTACCGGCCGGGAGAAAATTCAGGTAGGGGTGAAGGGTTGGGATTCGGCGGTGTGACAGAAGGTGAAGGGGGCCAGTCCTATGTGTTTGCGGAGAGGTTCCCTAGGTTCGCTCACCAGATAGTGGGGGTTGAAGAAGGCAATGCAATTGGAGGGAGTGGGTTCGGTGCAGTGAAAGGCAAGGAGGGAGCGGAAGAATGGGAGATATCTGCAGAGGAAAACATCGGCGGAAGCAGAGAGATTACCGGCAAGAAAGGGATGATGGAGGAGGAGGGTGTAATGCGTATGGGAAATCGAGCCGGTATACGGGGCCCTCCAGGAATGGATGAGCGTTTTGCTGGCCTTGTTGCTCATGATGATAGGGTGGCAAGTGAACGCTATTACCAGCTGCCTCACATCCACCACTCTCAGCAGCAGCAGCTGCAGGAGCAGCAGCAGCAGCAGCAGCAGCAGCAGCAGCAGTACCAAACGACAGAACGCTTGTTGATGCCGCTGCCGCTGCCGCTGCCGCTCCCACAACACCAGCCGCAGCAGCTAGAACAGCGGACAAAACGTTTATTGTTGCCGCTGCCCCTGCCGCTTCCACATCACCAGCAGGAGCACCAGATGCAGCAGCAAAAACAGCAGAGAGAACGCTTGTTGTTGCCTCTGCCACTGCCGCTGCCGCTACCTTTGCCACAACACCAGCAGGATCACCGGTTGCAGCAGAGAAATTCGTCTCCTGCAATTCCCGACTCCGCACAACCCCAGCAATCCACAGCTCCTACCCTTCTTCCTGACACTGAGGCTTCCGTACTCCCTCGCTGGAAGGGCAATGCAGCTCACCTCTTATTACTCGGAGCCACAGCGTCTCTTTCCCTCTGAAGCAACTGGTCGTCGGTGCTTCAACCCCTGGTTCCCAGCCCTGTGTGGACAACACAGGTGGTGTTGGTGGTGTGACTGGTGCAAGTGGTGCTGGTGCTGCTTCTGATTCGGGTGCTGTGGGTCCTATGGATGCTGTATCTCCAGCAGGTGCAAGAGAGGGTAGTGGACGCGTTACCTGTGCTGCTGGTGCTGCTGGTGTTACCTGTGCTGCGGGTGCTGCTGGTGATGCCGCTGCTTCTGGTGCTGCTTGTGATGTCGGTGCCGCTGGTGCTGTTGGTGTTCTTGGTGCTCCTGGTGCTGCGTGTGTTGCTGATGTTGCTGGTGCTAGTGTTATCAGCGCTTCTGTTGCTGGTGTTGCCAGTGCTGCCGCTGAGGCAGGTGCTTCTGGCGCAGCTGATGGTGCTCATGTTACCAGTGCTGCTGCTGTGGACGGTGCCTCTGGTGCGGCTGATGGTGCTCATGTTACCAGTGCTGCTGGATTTTCCAGACCTGTTGGCGTTGCTGCTGGTGGTGCTGATGTTACCAGTGCTGCTGGATTCACCAGACCTGTTGGCGTTGCTGGTGTGGTTGGGCTTCCATCCAACCCACCCTGCTCTCTCACAACAGCACCATATCCCCTCCTGCACAGGTTCAGACGATCACGGTCGCATGAACAGGGGCGGATTGGAGTGGGACAGCTGGACAGGGGGATGCTGAGTGCGCCAGCGTACCAGCCAGGAGGGGCAGCAAGAAATTACAGCCAAGAGTTACCGAGTTACCCGGAAGAGCAGCCACGGGTGGTGCATGCTAGCAGGTTCAGACACGTGCCTTATGGGTCGTCTCACAAGCAGCCTTGCAGGTACGGCCACGTGTCCCCTAACCAGCAGCATGAGCAGATGCAGCAGGGAGAGGCGGAGGGGCAGCAGAGGCTGTGGCTGGTCGAGAGGCAGATGCCGCCACCGCAGGAGCAGCAGCAGCAGCAGCCGCAGGAGCAGCAGCAGAAGCAGCCGCAGGAGCAGCAGCAGAAGCAGCAGCAGCATCCTCAGTCCGAGCTGCAGCAGCAGTTGCAGCTGATGCAGCAACAAGAGCAGCAGCAACAAGTACCACTCTCGCTCTTCCAAGGCGCTCTCCCGTTCTGTATGCAGCCCCTTCCCCCCATAAAACCTTTTGAGTCGACCCAAATTGCACCTCGCATTCTGTCTCTTCCTCCCATACCGCCTGCTGCTACCACCTCCACCGCTGTAGCCGCTGCTGCAGCTGCTGCACGCATTGCTGCCGGCGCTTCTGCCGGCTCTTTTGCTGCTGCCGGCTCTTCTGCTGCTGCCGGCGCTTCTGCTGCTGCCGGCTCTTCTGCTGCTGTCGGCGCTGCTGACCACAATGCTGCTGGCCTTGCAGTCCTCACTCCGCCCGCCTCTCCATCCACCATCTTCCACAGTACTGCCAGGTTGCCTCGATCCACTCACTCAGAGCAAGGCGATTCTAAAGCCTCGGATGATGACTCCTCTGAGAGAGCAACGATTCACAGCACTGAGAATGGTGGTGCTGGCAGCAGCAAGGGAGATGTCTTGATGCAGGAAGTCACAGCAGCAGGCTCTGGGGCTGTATACAGTAGCGGTGGAGCAGGTCATTCTATAGCGGAGCACTCTAATGTGGAACTGCCTAGTGAGGAGGAGCAGCCTAGTTCGGACCAGCCTAGTCTGGACAAGTCTAGTGCAGAACAGCCTAGTTCGTCGGACCGGCCAAGTTCTGACCAGCCAAGTTCTGACCAGCCGATTCTGGAAAGTCTCTGTGTTGACGAGCTGTGTGCTCTCCAGCATTACACCACAGCAGGTTTCGACCTTCCTCTGCCTGACCGCGCAGCGGTTCGGTTGTTTCTAGAGGCTCAAGACACACACCCCACTGCAGGTGCTGCGGGGAACCTCGTCACCCCGTTCTCCTGCCTCCCTCAGCGCACAGCAGCACCTGCTGCTGGTGGGGACCTCGCCACCACCCCATTCTCTCGCATCGACAGGACAGCATGCTTCAGTTTCGAGAATTATGGCTGTTCCGTCCCCTTTATGGAGCTTTTGAGAGGGGCAGGAGAGGGATTGGAGGCTGGGAGAGAGGCTGTGGATGCGGCAGGGTCGGCATATGCAGCAGATGAGCAGCATTTGGGGGACACTGCGGCTGGAGGTGGAATCTACACCGTGGATCCGCTGGAGATGTTCTTCCTGAATGATGGGGAGCCTAGGGACTAAGTATAAGTGATGGGAAGCATGCATGATCTATAACATAACATAACATTTAAATACATTATTATATTTATGAATTAATGATACCGTACAGGTGACAGGAGATGGTGGACAGGTGATTCTGGATAGGGACGGTGGGAAGAGCGAGAAAACCACTTCCATCGTTTCTTCCCAAAGGAATGTGCAGCTCAGAATTGCCATAAAGGTTGGTTCCTCCTCCTCTCACTACATCCCCACCTTTGAGTCGACTCGAACAAAGGTGACACAGTGGTCACAATTGCCACCAAGCTATGTAGTTGCCGCCACTGTGCTCATGCAGGAAAGGCGGACTGTCCTTGCGCTGTGCGGTGCGATGCAGAACGGTGATAACACCATCGTCTCGCTGTTGGGTAACGATTCAGAATAACTTGTCACATCTCAAAAACTTGCTGCTGTGTTGACCACTGTTGTTGTGACAAGTGTTTAGAGCCCAGTCCCTATGCAAAAACGGTAATTATGTGAGACGAGAACTAAAGAATGGATTTGGAGGGTCTTGCATTGATAGAAAAAATGATATACTGCTGGCATAATCACATCAACCTTGCTAAAACTTCACGTTGCTCTCCTCCTCCTCCTTGCACCGTTGCACACCGAGCTGGGATATTGCACAGCAAGGGTGTGTGTGTGGGAGGGGGGGGGGGGTGGGGAGTGGGGGGGGGGGGGGGGGGGGGAAGAAGGTACCGTTCGACAGGTAAGCCAGCGAAGGTGGATGAAACCGGAAAATATGAAGATGCAGGTTGGGGTCGGGGATCGATCTTTAAAAAGCATGCGAGTTCTGACAATTGCAGAAAGGAGATGCCTTGCTACACACAGAGAGCAAAAGGGCACGCATGCGAGAATGGGGTGGGAGGGGAGATAGGGGGGGGGTTGAGCAAGCACGGGTGGCAAGATTCTTGAGACGGCAAGATTCTTAAGACAAGACGAATGCAGGGCAGCAATTCGAGAGGGGTTACACTGCAGCCCACCTTGTTGCGTCTGCGCTCCTCTATCACAGCTTGCTCCTCTATCACAGCTTGCTCCTCTATCACAGCTTGCTCCTCTATCACAGCTTGCTCCTCTATCACAGCTTGCTCCTCTATCACAGCTTGCTCCTCTATCACAGCTTGCTCCTCTATCACAGCTTGCTCCTCTATCACAGCTTGCTCCTCTATCACAGCTTGCAATGACGGCCGGCCTGGACCCCGATGCAGTGCACACACCCACACGCGCGCGCGCGCATAGACATGCAGGAGTTTAGCATAGGCTACCCTTCATCGCACTCACCTTGTTGCGTCTGCGCTCCTCTATCACAGCTTGCAATGACGGCCGGCCTGTCAAGAACCCGATGCAGTGTGCGCGCACACACACACACACAGACACGCACACACGCACACAGACACGCAAGCACGCACACACACAGACACGCACACACGCACACAGACACGCAAGCACGCACACACACAGACACCCACGCACGCATGCATGCACGCACGCACACACAGAGATGCAGGAGTATAAGCATGAGAGGTACGAATAACCTATGAAGCACCTCAAAAGTAGACACATTCATCAACATCCCAGGATTTCAATATAGATAGCTGTATACGACGCTGATGAGGTGCCTTAATAAGAGACATAAGTTTATACAAGCCAGCGCATAGCATGAGGTGCATGAGGTAACCACATAACTGCCATGCTCAAGTTTTGCGAGCACTATTTGGCCCACACCTACCTGAGAGTGGCAGGCTGTATTTGGCCCAGACCTACCTGACAGTGGCAGGCGGTATTTGGCCCACACCTACCTGACAGTGGCAGGCGGTATTTGGCCCACACCTACCTGACAGTGGCAGGCGGTATTTGGCCCACACCTACCTGACAGTGGCAGGTGGTATTTGGCCCACACCTACCTGAGAGTGGCAGGCGGTATTTGGCCCACACCTACCTGACAGTGGCAGGCAGTATTTGGCCCACACCTACCTGACAGTGGCAGGCGGTATTTGGCCCACACCTACCTGACAGTGGCAGGCGGTATTTGGCCCACACCTACCTGACAGTGGCAGGCGGTATTTGGCCCACACCTACCTGACAGTGGCAGGCGGTATTTGGCCCACACCTACCTGACAGTGGCAGGCGGTATTTGGCCCACACCTACCTGACAGTGGCAGGCGGTATTTGGCCCACACCTACCTGACAGTGGCAGGCGGTATTTGGCCCACACCTACCTGACAGTGGCAGGCGGTATTTGGCCCACACCTACCTGAGAGTGGCAGGCGGTATTTGGCCCACACCTACCTGACAGTGGCAGGCGGTATTTGGCCCACACCTACCTGACAGTGGCAGGCGGTATTTGGCCCACACCTACCTGACAGTGGCAGGCGGTATTTGGCGCACACCTACCTGACAGTGGCAGGCGGTATTTGGCCCACACCTACCTGACAGTGGCAGGCGGTATTTGGCCCACACCTACCTGAGAGTGGCAGGCGGTATTTGGCCCACACCTACCTGAGAGTGGCAGGCGGTATTTGGCCCACACCTACCTGACAGTGGCAGGCGGTATTTGGCCCACACCTACCTGACAGTGGCAGGCGGTATTTGGCCCACACCTACTTGACAGTGGCAGGCGGTATTTGGCCCACACCTACCTGACAGTGGCAGGCGGTATTTGGCCCACACCTACCTGACAGTGGCAGGCGGTATTTGGCCCACACCTACCTGACAGTGGCAGGCGGTATTTGGCCCACACCTACCTGAGAGTGGCAGGCGGTATTTGGCCCACACCTACCTGACAGTGGCAGGCGGTATTTGGCCCACACCTACCTGACAGTGGCAGGCGGTATTTGGCCCACACCTACCTGACAGTGGCAGGCGGTATTTGGCCCACACCTCGTAGATCCCGTCTGCAAGAGCGCCCACTTGACACACCGCAGGTGGAGAGTGGAGAGCGAGGGATGGGAGGGGAAAAAGGGAGGGAAAGCGGAGACGAGAGGGGCGGATCAAGATGAGACCAGTGATGAGGAGCTCACACCTCATCAATTCCGTCTGCCAGAGCTCCCAGCTGACACACAGCAGGTGGAGGGTGGAGAGTGAGGGATGGGAGGGGAAGCACGTGTATGAGGCACCTCAAGATGCTTTCGAGCCGACTCAAAAGCGGGATGGGAGGGGAAGAACGTATGAGGCACCTCAAGTTGCCAAGAGATCGAGCAGGACGGAGCAGCAATGGTGGTGGAGAGGTGAGCGATAATGGAGAGGTGAGCAATGGTGGCGAGGTGAGCAATGGTGGCGAGGTGAGCAATGGTGGCGAGGTGAGCAATGGTGGCGAGGTGAGCAATGGTGGCGAGGTGAGCAATGGTGGCGAGGTGAGCAATGGTGGCGAGGTGAGCAATGGTGGCGAGGTGAGCAATGGTGGCGAGGTGAGCAATGGTGGCGAGGTGAGCAATGGTGGCGAGGTGAGCAATGGTGGCGAGGTGAGCAACGGTGGCGAGGTGAGCAATGGTGGCGGGACAGGAGACATACCGGAGGGAACTTGGTGATGGCATAGACCCACCCGAGGCCCACCGCCTCGTAGAACTCACGAAAGGCCTGCAATTGGTCGGTGCGGGGCAGACAGCGCAGAGAGAGGGAGGGATAGTGACTACACGGGTGAGACTGCGTGCACTGCGCAGAGGGAACCTCGTGATGGCATAGACCCACCCCCCCTGAGGCCCACCGCCTCATAGAACTCACGAGAGGCCTGCGATTGGTTGGTGCGGGGTGGAGCAGAGATAAGGGAGGGAAAGATACACTTTGCATTGGCACTCACCTGCCTCACTCTCGCTCCCCCTCGCACTCAAATCGCCCCACAATCCTTGCCCCCAAATTCTCCTGCCCCTCACACTCTCCTGCCGCCTCACACTCTCCTGCCGCCTCACACTCTCCTGCCGCCTCACACTCTCCTGCCGCCTCACACTCTCCTTCCTCACATACCTGCAGGCTGCACAACCTTCCACCCCCACCCATCAACATCCCACACCCACCCGCACGCCAGTGACCACAGTGCCATCCCTTGACATACCGTGAATCTCCCCCATAGCCGCCTCATGCGACTGCTGTACCCCGGTACCCACTTGCACCCCAGACCCCTCTGCACCCATCTGCACCCACCCGCACGCCAGTGACCACAGTGCCATCCCTTGATATACCGTGAATCTCCCCCATAGCCGCCTCATACGTCCACTGTGCCCCGATTCCCACTCTCACCCCCACCCCACCCTCCTGCAGGCTGCAGTCTGCACTGCATACCCCGCGGCACCCATCTGCACCCAGCTCCACGCCAGTGACCACGGTTCCATCTCTTCGTATCCCGTGAATCGACCCCATAGCCGCCTCGTACGACACACCCGCATGCTCATCCGCGCTGTAGTCACCCGCCGCTATGTCCACAAACTTGAGTGTGCCAAACTCTTTGTTGCGACCCTGTAGGAAGTCCACCTGCATAGGGGCGGGAGGACGGGCAGGGGGGGGAGAGGCAGGGGGGGAGGGGCAGGGGGGGAAGGGGCAGGAGGGGAAGGGGCAGGGGGGGAAGGGGCAGGGGGGAAAGGGGCAGGGGGGAAAGGGCAGGGGGGGAAGGGGCAGGGGGGGAAGGGGCAGGGGGGGAAGGGGCAGGGGGGGAAGGGGCAGGGGGGGAAGGGGCAGGGGGGGAAGGGGCAGGTGGGTAAGGGGCAGGGGGGGAAGGGGCAGGTGGGTAAGGGGCAGGGGGGGAAGGGGCAGGGGGGGAAGGGGCAGGGCGAGGGTCATGTCAATCTCAGCTTTGTCGACAAACTTGAGCATTCCGTTCCGTACCCCCTGTTGCGGCCCTGCAGGAAGGCCACGTGCAAAGAGGAAGGGGCAGGGGCTAGAAGGGAAGGGCAGGGGGGTGGGGCCAGTGTCACCCACAGCTGCGTCCCTGTTGCGGCCCTGCTGGAAGGCCACGTGGTGATTAGGCGGGTGGCACACCCACCCCTCCCTCCCTCCCTGCCCATCACCATCTGCCCGCCCATCACCATTTGCCCGCCCATCACCATCTGCCCGCCCATCACCATTTGCCCGCCCATCACCATCTGCCCGCCCATCACCATCTCCCCGGCCCAGTTGCCCGCCCCAACTTTTCGAGCATTCAAACCCTCCACATCCCTCCCTTCCCCCCCATCCGCCATGCGCGCGCCTTCCCCCCCACCCCCCCCTCCTCCTTCCCCCGTCCCCCCCATCCGCACACCTCTCGCATGCAGAGCGGGCAGTCGCCATCGTACAGCAGCTTCAGCTGCCACGTGTCGCCCTCTGATTCCTCCGCCGTCGCCGCTTGCACCGGGCTTGCTGAGGGGCGGCGGCAGGATATGAGAGGGGGAAAAGGGGAAATGGGGTAGGGGGAGAGGGGGGGGAGTGGGGAAATTGTGAAGGGGGCGAGGGGGAGATGGGTGAGGGGGGGAGAAAGAGAAATATGGGAGGGAAAGAATGGGGAAGGGGGAGCGTGGAGGAATGGAAAAGGGAGAGGGGGAATGGGGAGGGTGGAAGGGGGACAATGGCGGGGTGAGAGGGGAGTGGGGGAGTGGTAAGCGGCGCTAGCGGCGGGTGAGGTTGACTACAAGTAACAGGTGAGCCGTTCTAAGCGACAGGTGGGCCACTGACCTTGGGCCGTCGCTCTAAGCGACAGGTGGGCCACTGACCTTGGTCCGTCGCTCCGCTGAAACGACGGAGCCGCCTTGCGGTGGAGCGCGCCGCGCCATCATCGGCGGGAGCAACGCGCCCTGTGAACGGCGACGCGGCACAGCGCGCCGCGATGAGTGAATGAGCAGTACTAAGAGAACTGCTACTGTTACCGCCGGGGCGTCTAGGACTAGGAGCAACGGCTACAGACAAAGTCGGCACTGTCGCGGCTCGCCTGAGCACAGGAATTTGTGGGGGGGGAAGCGCCGCGACTGCTGGGCGGCATGCGGCGGTCGCGGCCGGCACGGAGATTCGGGCCGCAGCTGTGCGCGCGAGTCGGAATCGCGTGGTGGACGCGGAGGAGACGGTGGCAGCCATGACGAGCTTGGAGAATAAAAAAAAACGACGCTCGTGACGCAGGGTTGTAAATGAGCAGGAAAGCAAGACGTAGAAACCGAGTATTCGGTCTCAGTTCTAATAAAGACCTTCACAAAAGTGTGAATAGAGACTTTCGCGAAAGTGTGAATAGAGACCTTCACGTCACGAAAGTGTGAATTTAGTTGAGAGCCGAACAGAACACTAGTTTGGTTCCGAGGTGAGAATGCGCGGCTGACGCGCGGCACGACGAGAGCTGTGCTTATGGCGTGGTGAGCCGCGGTGAAGAATTTCGTTGAGGAAACCAAGGACGCGCCAAACGAATTGGTGTGCGTTGATTGGGTAACACGTGATGTGATGAAGGGATCGCGTGGTGCCACGACAGCTCTGGAAAACCGTTCTTAGGCGGCCACGCCAGCGTATACTATACGCGTTATGAGGCGTCTAGGACTCGCTGTTTTTCGACTTGTACCAACCAGTTATGTTCGCTTTGAAAGTGTTTGCGTCTAGCCCAATTAAATCAGTTATGATATACGCGATAAAAGCCGTCAAATCCAGCTAAACGATAGCCACTTTCTAACTTTCACATTTTCCATTTGTGATCGGCCTCAGCGCCAGAACCCTTCCTCCCCCCTCGTATCTTCCTCCCTTTATAAGAACCTCACGCAATGGAGGCTCTTTCTTCCCGCCAGCTACTCACGAGCCCGATTTCCCTTCGCTCCTATACTCGCGCCCGCGATACAGTCACCGTTCGACCGGCGTCGCTCCCTGTGCTCTCGTCGCGCACCCGCGCTACAGTCACACCCACCGCCAGCGCTTCCTTCAACGGGGAGAAATCTCGCCAAGCGCGCAATGCCGCTCCGCCCTCCGCCGTTTCGCAATCCGCGGAGTTGCGCGCGCAGCAGGCGGGAGCGACGGGGGCGGAGAAGGAGGAGCCGCTCCCCGTGTCGCATCTGACGGCGATCTCCCCCGTCGACGGGCGCTACGGGCGGCTTCCCGCGCTGCAGCGGCTCCGCCGCATCTTCAGCGAGTTTGGTCTGATTCGATTCCGCGTGCTTGTGGAGGTGCGTGATAGTAGCGAGGGGCAGCATTAGATTAGCACGCATTGCTGATGTTACTACAGTAAACTGATGCTTTTCCCCCCTTCCGCGTTCTTCGCCCCCTCGCCCCGCCTCTTCTCTCTTCCCCCCTCCCCTCCCCCCCACACACCCCCTCCCTCCCTCCAGCCTCTTCCCAAAACCCTCAACCCTCCAATCCCCTCATGCCGCGCTGCCCTTGCGGTCCCCAACCCCTTCCTCCCACCGACCCCCCCCCCCACGAGGTGCGGTGGCTGCAGCAGCTGTCGCGCATGCCTGAGGTGGTGGAGGTGGACTGTCAACCCCGCCTGCCCTTGTTCCAAGCAAACCTCTCCTCCTTTCCTCCCTCCCTTCTCCTCCCTCCCCTTCCCTCTTCCGCTCCGTCCCCACTCCCTCCTCCCCAACTCCCCCTACACTCCTTCTTACCAGGAGCGGTGGCTGCAGCAGCTGTCGCGCATGCCCGAGGTGGTGGAGGTGCCGCCCCTCTCCCCCCCCTGCCTGCCCTTCCGGCCTCCAACAACCCCCCTCCCCACACCCCCCCTTCCCTCTTCCCCCTTCCCCCCCCTCCCCTCCTCCCCCTCCCCCAGGTGCGGTGGCTGCAGCAGCTGTCGCGCATGCCCGAGGTGGTGGAGGTGCCGCCCCTCTCCCCCGAGGCACATGCTGACCTCGACGCTGTTGTGACCGGTGGGTGGGGTGGGGAGCGGAGAGGGGACAGGGGAGCGGCATTTAGGTAGGGGAAGGGAGGAGCAAGGAGAGGCAGGTGGTGGAGGTGCCGCCCCCCTCCCCTCAGGCGCATGCTGATCTAGACGCTGTTGTGACAGGTGGGTTGGGGTGGGGAGGGGAGAGGGGAGAGGGGAGTGGCAAGTAGGTAGGGGGCGGGAGGAGTAAAGGGAGGCAGGTGGTGGAGGTGCCGCCCCCCTCCCCCCACGGTGCTGACTTGGATGCTGTCGTGACAGGTGGGTGGGCTGGGGCGAGGGAAGTGGCAGGAGGGTGGGGTGGGGAAAGGGAAGTGGCAGGTGGGTGGGGTGGGGAGAGGAGGAGGGAGAGAAGAAGAACATTCAGGAGGGGAGAGGGAGGAGTAAGGTCGAGGGAGGTGGTGTGGTGAGATGCCGCCCCTCTCCCCCCAGGCGTATGCTGAATTGGATGCTGTTGTGACAGGTGGGTGGGGTGGGGCGAGGAGGAGAGAGAGGGGAGTGGCCGGCAGGTAGGGTGAGCCACGTGTAGAGAGGGTGTTTTTGAGACGTCTAAAAGAACTCTCTCTACAGGAGAGAGAGGGGAGTGGCCGGCAGGTAGGGTGAGCTGGGATGGGAATAAGGAGCGGCTACTTGGCGTGCTTGCTACTCTCCCCCTCCCCCCGGGCGGATGCTGACCTGAACGCTGTTGTTACAGGTGGGTGGGTGTGAGAGGCAAGGGGAGTGGCACGTGGTTTGGGTGGTTTGGTGTGCTTTGCTGCAAGGCAACCCCCTCCGTCCCACCCTCTTTTCCCCCTTCCAGGCAAAGGAGCGACTTTTTTTTTTTTTTTTTTTTTGCAGGTCGTTCGTTTGTGAGAAGTTTAACTACCGAGCTGCAAAAAGGGCAGTTCTGTAAGGCGGATGTTCAAGAGGTGAGGTGAGGTGATCCTAAAGAGCGACTTCGAATCGATTGACTTGACAATTCTATTGCGGTGGCGTGGGGTGGTGTGCGGTGCTGCAGGGTTCAGCGAGGCGGACGCACGGGAGGTGAAGCGGGTGGAGGCGACAACCAACCACGATGTGAAGGCGGTGGAATATTTCCTTAAAGCCCGCTTCCAGGATCACCCTGAGATCAGCCCGGTGAGTGACCAGTGGCCAGTGCAGTGGAGGTGGGAGGTGGGCGAGGGCTTGTGGGAGGCGTGCATTGCAGGGACCAGCCATCACAGTGTGGTGTGGTGTGGTGTGGTGTGGTGTGGTGTGATGTGAATGTGAAGGCGGTGGAATATTTCCTTAAAGCCCGCTTCCAGGGGCGAGGGCAGTATGATTCGGTGGAACGTGCGCTCTGCATTGCCACACACAGTGACCAACTGCCACTGTGTGAAATGAAGGCGGAGTACTTTCTTCCCCTCCTACCCTCTTCGCCCTTTTCCTCCCCACACACCCCCACGTGCAGATCCTCCAGTCATTCCACTGCGCATGCACGTCAGAGGACATCAACAACCTCTCACACGGCCTCAACCCCTTTCCTTTCCGCTTCATCTCCTCCCCTCTCCTCCCTCTTCCTCCGTCTTCCTCCCCACGTGCAGATTCTCGAGTTTTTCCACTTCGCGTGCACGTCAGAGGACATCAACAACCTCTCGCACGGCCTCATGCTGTCAGCAGCAGTACAGAGAAGGCGAGGTGCTGCCGGGCAGACTGAGACGAGACCCAACCCCCACCCCAACCACACCACCATGTGCAGATCTTGGAGTTCTTCCACTTCGCATGCACGTCAGAGGACATCAACAACCTCTCCCACGGCCTCATGCTGTCGGCCGCTGTGAAGGATGAGGTGCTGCCCGCCATGGATGGGGTCATCGCCACGCTCAAGGGCATGGCGCATAAGTATGCAGAGCAACCCATGCTGTCGCGCACCCATGGGCAGGTGAGGGGCTGCTGTTTGTGTGGTTTGGTTCAACGAGCACGCACTAGCAGGTAGGTAGCTTGCATGGGCAGGTGTGGCACACAGCAGCAGTGCAGGATGAGGTGTTGCCCGCCATGGATGGGGTCATCGCCACGCTCAAGAGCATGGCGCATAAGTACGCAGACCAGCCCATGCTGTTGCGCACCCACGGACAAGTAACGACGGCACATGAGGCAGAATGTCTGAGCAGATAGGTGGGCTGATGAAAGTATGTGAGGCACACACAGCAGGCAGCAGTGCAGGATGAGGTGCTGCCCTGCCCGCCATGGATGGGGTCATCGCCATGCTGAGGGGCATGGCGCACACATATGTGGAGCAGCCCATGCTGTCCCGCACCCACGGGCAGGTGAGTGGCTGCTGTGTGGATAGGGGTGGCGTGTGTGGGGCAGGTGTGTCAGCACATATGCGGATCAGCCCATGCGGACTAGCCCATGCGGATCAGCCCATGCGGACTAGCCCATGCGGATCAGCCCATGCGGACTAGCCCATGCGGAGCAGCCCATGCTGTCGCGCACCCACGGGCAGGTGAGTGGTTGCCACTCTCACTCTCAGGCACACAGCTAGAAGCAGTGAAGGATGAGGTGCTTCCCTGCCCGCCATGGATGGGCTTATTGCCATGCTGTCGCGCACCCACGGGCAGGTGAGGGGTTGCCTGGATAAACTTGGGCAGCATGGCATGCACCCACCCATGGGTAGGTGAAGGGTTGATTGATGGCATGGTTGGAGGGTTCTAGCTAGTCCCCTCATATCTAGGCCTGAGTATCCACATACTGTCCTATTCTATCAAGGTGAAAAACAGCAACAACTCTTTTTGTGCTTATCCCTCACTCTCTTCCCTACTACTCACCCATCTATCACTCCCATCCCTTTCATCGCCCTACCTTGGTAATAACATAGCATTCAATTCTCGTTTTTTTTTTCTTTCGTTCTTCTTTTCTTTTTTGTTCTCGCGCCTCTCTTTTGTCTTTTTCCTCCAGACCGCTTCCCCCACAACGGTCGGCAAGGAGCTGGCAGTCTTCGCCGCCCGGCTGCAGGCGCAGCGAGATCAAATCTCCTCCGTCCAGATCCTTGGGAAGATGGCCGGCGCGGTGGGCAACTACAACGCCCACGTGGCAGCATACCCGGATGCTGATTGGTCGGCGGTGGCAGAGGAATTTGTGACGGGGTTAGGGCTACGGTTGAACCCGTATGTGACGCAGATCGAGCCGCATGACTACGTGGCAGAGCTGTTTGACGCGGTGTGCCGCTTCAACACCATTCTCATCGACTTGGACCGGGACATGTGGGGATATATCTCGCTCGGTTATTTCCGCCAGGTGCGTAGGAGAACGGGGGGGTTGGTGGTTGTGAGAGAGTGTGTGTGTGAGCATTTCAAAGAGTGTGTGGGACAGGGGTTGGGGTTACGGTTGAACCCGTATGTGACACAGATCGAGCGGCATGACTACGTGGCGGAGCTGTTTGATGCCGTGTGCCGCTTCAACACCATTCTCATCGACCTGGACAGGGACATGTGGGGATACATTTCGCTGGGCTACTTCCGCCAGGTGGGTGGGAGGCTGGGTGGGTGGTGGGTGTGTAAGGGCTGGCCAGCAGATTGAGCCGCATGACTACGTGGCAGAGCTGTTTGATGCCGTGTGCCGCTTCAACACCATATTGATCGACTTGGATTGTGGCATGTGGGGGTATATTTCCCTCGGCTACTTCCGCCAGGTGCGTGTGTGTGGGGAGGCTGGTGTGTGTATACTAGGGCTGGCCAGCAGATTGAGCCGCATGACTACGTGGCAGAGCTGTTTGACGCCGTGTGCCGCTTCAACACCATACTGATCGACCTCGATCGTGGCATGTGGGGATACATTTCCCTGGGGTATTTCCGCCAGGTGGGTGGGAGAGGCAGGGGGTGGGGGGGTGCAGGGAGAGGGGGCTGTTGGTAGTGTGTGGGTGTGAATGTGTGCGGGGGCTGAACCCGTATGTGACGCAGATCGAGCCGCATGACTATGTGGGAGAGCTCCCAACCCCTCTTGCCCCTCCTTCGCCCTCCCTTCCCTTCCTACCCTCTGTACCCTTACCCTCCCACCAGCGCCCTGTGAAGGGCGAGATAGGGTCATCCACGATGCCGCACAAGGTGAACCCGATCGACTTTGAGAACAGCGAGGGCAACCTTTCATCTCCATCCCAACTCCCAGTGTCACACCCCCTCTTCTCCCCCCTCTGCAGCGGCCTGTGAAGGGCGAGATTGGCTCCTCCACCATGCCGCACAAGGTGAACCCCATCGACTTTGAGAACAGCGAGGGCAACCTCGGGATTGCCAACGCCATCATGGGGCACCTGTCTGCCAAGCTGCCCATCTCACGCTGGCAGGTGAGGCGAGAGGTTGGCAGGTGTTGAGTGCGGTACTGGTCATGTGCTGGCAGCGAGGGCAACCTTGGGATTGCCAACGCCATCATGGGGCACCTGTCTGCCAAGCTGCCCATCTCACGCTGGCAGGTGAGGCGAGAGGTTGGCAGGTGTTGAGTGCGGTACTGGTCATGTGCTGGCAGCGAGGGCAACCTTGGGATTGCCAACGCCATCATGGGGCACCTGTCTGCCAAGCTGCCCATCTCACGCTGGCAGGTGAGGCGAGAGGTTGGCAGGTGTTGAGTGCGGTACTGGTCATGTGCTGGCAGCGAGGGCAACCTTGGGATTGCCAACGCCATCATGGGCCACCTGTCTGCCAAGCTGCCCATCTCACGCTGGCAGGTGAGGCGAGAGGTTGGCAGGTGTTGAGTGCGGTACTGGTCATGTGCTGGCAGCGAGGGCAACCTTGGGATTGCCAACGCCATCATGGGCCACCTGTCTGCCAAGCTGCCCATCTCACGCTGGCAGGTGAGGCGAGAGGTTGGCAGGTGTTGAGTGCGGTACTGGTCATGTGCTGGCAGCGAGGGCAACCTTGGGATTGCCAACGCCATCATGGGCCACCTGTCTGCCAAGCTGCCCATCTCACGCTGGCAGGTGAGGCGAGAGGTTGGCAGGTGTTGAGTGCGGTACTGGTCATGTGCTGGCAGCGAGGGCAACCTTGGGATTGCCAACGCCATCATGGGCCACCTGTCTGCCAAGCTGCCCATCTCACGCTGGCAGGTGAGGCGAGAGGTTGGCAGGTGTTGAGTGCGGTACTGGTCATGTGCTGGCAGCGAGGGCAACCTTGGGATTGCCAACGCCATCATGGGCCACCTGTCCGCCAAGCTGCCCATCTCACGCTGGCAGGTGAGAGGGGGGAAGGGCCGTGACAGGTGAGGCGGGGAGAGGGGGTGGGAGGTGAGAGTAATGGGGAGCGGGTAGGTGAGGTGAGGTTAGGAGGGGGCAGTCGGTGGGGAAGGTGAGAGGGGAAGGCGCTGGCAGGTGTGTTTGAGTGTTGCCTATTTCCAATTGCCCCCTCCTGGGCCTCCCCTCCCGTTCCCTCTCGCCTCTCATTCCCCAGCGTGACCTGACAGACTCAACGGTTTTGTGCAACCTGTGGGCGGGCCTTGCTCATTCCCTCATCGAATCACCCTCACCCGCCTACCGTTCCCCCTTTTCCACCTCCTCCCCATTCCCCGCCCCATCGTGACCCGACAGACCACTGTTCTGCGTAATCTAGGGGTGGGCCTGGCTCACTCGCTCATCGCCTACAGCAGCACGGCCAAGGGGCTCTCCAAGGTTGATTCGGAAGCTCTTCTCCCCTCACCCCCACCCGCCTGCCCCCACCTCGCCCGCCCCTCTCCTTGTGCCATGCCCCAGAGGGACCTGACGGACTCAACAGTTCTGCGCAACCTGGGCGTGGGTCTGGCGCACTCGCTCATCGCCTACAGCAGCACGGCCAAGGGGCTCTCCAAGGTTGATTTGGATGCTGTGAGGATCGAGGCGGATCTGAACGACTCGTGGGAGGTGCTGGCAGAGCCCATTCAGACGGTGAGTGATGGTGGTGGGGGGGAAGGGAAGGCGGTGATGGGTACGTGTGGGTGGGCCTTGCACACTCGCGCATCGCCTACAGCAGCACGGCCAAGGGTCTCTTTAAGGTTGATGTTGAAGCAGCTTGGATCGAGGCGGGCCTGGAAGGACTCGCCCCCCCCCCCCCCCCCCCCCCCCCCCCCTCCCCCCCCTCCGCCCTTCCTTATACCCTCATTTACCCCCCTCCCCACCGCGCCTCCTCCCAACCAGGTGATGCGGCGCTACGGAGTTCCCAATGCTTACGAGCACCTCAAGGAGGCAACGAGAGGGAGATCGGTGACGCAATCAGATCTGATTGCGCTGATCGATTTCTTGGAGGGCGAAGTTCCTGATGAAGCCCGGGAGCAGATGAGACAAATGACGCCGGCCAGCTATGTGGGGCTTGCTGCCAGGCTGGCAAAGGAGGTGTAGACATTGGATGTGCATGCAGATGGAATGGAAGTGGCTGCAATTGTCACTCGGTGATTTCGGGATAGAGTGTTGTTGACAGTTATCAACTTATAATTCAGCTGCGAAAGTCCTTATGCAGTAATTATGCATAAGCGTAATGCGGATGTCAATGTGTGAAGTGTTCAAGTGGGGCAATGTGCTAGTTTGAAGCGTCTTGTTTTCCAGAGAGAATTGAGCTCTAGGACAAGATTGCCATACAACCATTAGGAGATGATTTATTCAATAGCAGTGACTCGTCAAATGTTTATTTACAAACGAGGATAAACCTCATCGTTTTCGAACGTTCTAATTCCCACCTACCTCTCATTCGCCAGCAAGCCGCACTGCTAGCCTCTCATTCGCCAGCCAATCTGCCAAATCGTTGGCCAATCCAAAAGCACAGCTTCTCATACTCAGCTCCTGTTTTCGCGCTCTCGTCTTGTACTCTTCTTCCTCCACGTGAGAATGACTTCAGAGATCATATTCCCCTCTGCGTCTGTGTCGCCGCGGCCTCGTAGTATTTTGAAACCACGTCGCTGCGTATGGTCATCAGCGCGCTCGAGGATATGCCTGAGGGAGTAGCATGCTGCTCTTCACTCGTTGATAAATAGCTGGATATTCTTCCGCACAGCGAGCCATGTACGAAGGTTTGCGACGGCTCGTGCTTTCGTAGCGACATCGTCTCCCGCGGAGGTGCGTAGGGAAGACTTCTGGACAATAATCCGCTGTAGGCTTGGCAGGAGCATCGATAGTTTCGCAATGTCGTCAACGTCGCACTCCATGTTCGTCAAAGCGATAGTAGTCAGGTCGCGATGCATGACCGCATCTGTCGCCACGCTATTTTCGCCTAAAAGCTGGCGAAGGTTCCCGCCGATGAGCTCTAATACTCGCAGCGCGTAACACTTTCGCAAGGCCATCAGGTCGTCCTTCGCGAGCGCGCCACAGTGGATTCGCAGGTACGCCAGCTCCCGCCAAGCGATAACCATCAGGTAAATCGCCTGTTTCGTTAGGCTGTTTTTGCACAGACACGCGAAACTGCGGACGCGACGAAATCCCGACGTCAGGTACCACATGGCTTTGTTTTCGAGATAGTTGAAGTTCCCCTTTTCGCCGTTCGATACAAGCTCGACGCTTTCGACATTGCTGCAGTAGAGACTGCACATTGAGAGGGGAGAGCGGGGGAAGAGGGAGAACGAAGACAATGTTCCAGGTAAGCGCATGTAACAGAACAGCTCTATTGATGTCGCACATATCGCGGTACGTGAGAATAACTGTAATTGTCATGTACGTGTCTACATTAAGGCGAACGCAAGAAACAAAAGATCGGAACTTTTGCTCACCTGACTATCCAGAGAACGCTGCAGATGGACGCTTCATTGCGGCTCGTGTCATCGCGATCACAGTCGATGACGATGCGCTTTAGCGACGGGCCGCACGCCATGATTATAGGGTGCAGCACGTGCAGCTCGCACCGCGGGTCGTCGATGTGAATCTCCTCCAAATGCGCGCATCGCGACGCGAGCTGCTCCACGCCCGCGCGCATGCTCCCGGGGCCTATGCGAAGCTTGGTCCAGAAAATCGGGTTGTAACAGAGGTTTCGCAACGATCGGTTCACGCACGCGAGTCGAGACAGGTCCCACGCTGTGGGCTGCGCGAGCTGGAGGATGTGGAGTAACAAATCTTCGCCGAGATCGCCAAGCGACGGGGCGGCGGACGTTGTCGGCATGGGCGGGGATTCCGCTTCAAGTGGAAGCGCGTTGAGGTCAACAAGGGGTTGCGCCCTCCCCCAAGCCTTGCGGACGCACACGCGTTTCGCGGGAGGAGAAGGTCTGACACATCGAAAGTGGTCGGCTGGAAGGCGTCACGCTCCACTTTCTTCGCCATGATATCGACTAAAACGGGAACACTGATGATACCCCTAACTTGAGAACGTGGCTGTGAAGCAAAGACGAACTCAGCAGAGATGGAATGCTGTGGACTTGGCTCGTGGACTTGAAGACATTGCTCGGCTTTGAGAAAAGCGGCCTATTTGTGTGGGTTGAGACGAATCCGCTGGATGCTCATTGCCCAACCAATGTGTCCTCTCCTCAGTCACACTCGTCCGGGTCCGGGCCTCGAATTCGATATCCCACCGTGGAACAGAATTGATGAGCAAGCTATCACCTGTCATGCCAGCTCCATTCATGAAGGCGCTGTAAAGTGATGATGCCTCGGATCTGGGGACCCTGCCACCCGGCATTCATCACTTAGCAAATCGCAGTCTTCTGTGGACAACTAGCTGTGTGCAGCAGATTTGTGTTTTGCTACCAGGTGGGATGAGTGGTGGTGCTCGGTACATCCATGCCATTGTGGAAGGGAGAATGTGAATGAGGATTCAGCCTGGCAAACTTGCGACGACAGTTCTTTTACAGCCTGTACTTACATAAGTGTCAGTGTTCTCGCAATTGATTCGAAGCCCTGCCATCGTGGAGCTGTGGCCAGGCCACAACGAAGTAGCTTACGAAATATCTTTCGCCTGCCTTTCGCCACCACCACACCACAAAGGTGGTCATTACACACAGACGCAGTTGTCGGCATCAGATTTCGGCTCCACCAGAGCTGGGCCCGGATATCCCAGCTAAACAGCAGCATCATGAAAAGCTAATTATCCACTGGCACAGTCGTTGACAGTCATGATTGTACACCCTGTTTCTCGCTACACTGAACTGCGGAAACACACTGAACAGTGGAACTATTCCTTGGACGTATTTGAAAAGTTTACAATATCCGTCTCTAGGAGGCGGGTGATCCGAAATTTCGTTGACCTGGGTACCCTACCGAGCCATATTAAAAGTTTAATCGACCGTCTTCAAAGGTAGCTGACCTCGTCAAACCGAACTGGTGCAAAAGTTTACTATATCGCGTAATTTGGCGCGTTGAGCCACAGGGTTCAGTATACCGGCATACACAATAGCGAGAAACAGGGTGTATTACGGCGAGGCTGGCTGCAACGCTGGTGCAGTGGTGGACCAGTGAGTAAACGCGTTGTAAACGAGTTGATTTGATGAAGAATCAAATCATCAAGAAAATGACCGTGGCGTGTAGGAAGCATGATTTAAAAATCTTTCTTGCCCGCAGAAGATCACCGATCATCCACGCACGAACGTGGAGGAGTCCACGACCTTTTGGCTGTCACAGGATGTTGCCAGCGAAGCCTCCTTTTTTAGTGGGCTGTTCATCTGGATTGCAATGCTGCCGAATGTGCCGCCTTTGGTATCCCTCGTTACAGTCGTAAGGAGCTGATGTAAGTGTCAACATGCCTCGTTAATTATACAGCTGGGCATAGAACTCAGAATATTTATTTACATAAGCGACGATCAAATATTCAGCTGTTGCAACTTGCACTGCACACCCGTATCAATATTCGAACTGGGTCCGCAACATGTCCAGTGCGGAAGAGGGGTCGTCCGCAAAACCACACACACACATACGTGTACCGCACGATCTTCATTCACACATCCGCCGCACACCAGCCGCATTCCCTGGTTCCCCCCATCTTCCCCCATTCTCCCCCAGGTGGCGCGTCAATGTCTATGCGCCTCTAGGGAAATTCAATACCCTCAGGAGTTCAGTTGGGTAGGGGGGAACAAGGGGAAGGGAGGGCAAGCGAGGGGCGGAAGAACAAAGAGGGGCGGAAGGAAGAGAGGGGGAGTTTTGGGAGGGGGTCACAGGTGACAGGAGTGAACTGGCACAGCGAGTGTCCTGTCACAGACTCACCCTGGGAATGACAGGAGGATGGGAGGCGTAGATTTCTTCAGACCTCGAGAATGTCGTGAGTCTTAGGGCGGATTCCTGGGCCCGGACACCATCCTAAGTTAGCCCACCTGAATGGTTTTGGTGTGAGGATGGTGTCCGTGTGGGGCAGGGCCCACTCTGGAGAGTTGGCAGGGTCCGTCAGGGGTTGACTGTCGCACGCGTCAATTTTGTTCGCGACCAATCAGGGTGTCCCGCGATAGGCTGTAGTCCAGCAGCGACAGTCCTTGGGGCGCCAAAATGAAACGGCCAGCTCTAACTTTCGGGCACTTGTAAAAACAATGACCGCGTAATGTTCGATAGTGTTTGCGTGAATACATTCTGTATTGAAATTACAATCACTGCACCAATATTGATGGCAACACCGGGGCAGCGAACACATTACACTCTTGACAGCTGAGCTGTCTCGAGAGCATTGGATAATGGAAAGATCGCACAGCAAAACACTTGACGTGCAAACTGGTCGCACATCCACTGGCCGGTTGAGATGAACGTGTCCAGACCCCGGACCGCGTGGCCGAACACTCAAATGTGATTTTCGACATTGCGGACCGCGTGGCAGTACTTCGGATGGTGTCCGTGCGTAGGAATGCGATCTTAGGAGGATCTCTGGTCCCTCGCGGCTCGTCTGTTGACAGCTTCTAAGGCAGCCATTCTAATTCATCCAGCAAAAACGTGCATACGGATCGCGGCATTCCCGCTGCAAATTCTTGTTGTGACTGCTCGTGACAGGACTTCAATCTGAGCCGTTCGGCAGGGCGAAATGACTTCGGTGTTCTCCAAGTCGGCCTCGGGAGCTCCGGGAACGTCACCTCCTAAACCTCACCGTTTAGAAACCGAAGCTTCAGCCAATCACCGCACTGTTTTTTTTTTTCGCGCACCGCGTCTGGCGGGACAGGCCATTTCTGGAGAATCTGGCCGGGTGGAAGATCCCGGAACACGCAAGCGCATCTGCGGAAAATGCGCGACGGTTTTTCGCCTTGATTGGCTAGAAATCGTGTCGCGGAAGCCATTCAGGAACTTACCGCACACCGGCTGAGACAGGTCTCCACGTGCCACGTCACGTCAGGAAGGCTCTCGTCGCTGGGCTGTAGCATACCGCAGCTGACTCTGCAGTGCTGATCGTCGAAGACGGATCTTCTGCGCTGACTCGGCAGGGAACGGAGGGGAGGTGTTATGCTGACTCACGTCTGGCACTTAGCAACGAGCTGAGTGTTACATATCACGTCCCTGCGTGGAATGCTGATGGCCAGTGCTTCGTTCTCGGTGCTCACGCTGATCCCCACCCACGCACCGTGTCGGTGCGTTTCGCATAACACCTTCCTTTTCGGGCAGTAAGCGATGCGCTGGACGCTTTCCGCGAATCAGCTCCGCGGAACCATCGCGAAGTCAGCGTTCGGAGCGCCAGCGCAGCGCCGGCGCGCGTGCGACCGATCTTGACGCGGACCGCTTCCCAACGGTCTCGCGCCACGCGGAGAGGAGTAAAACCATTCGCGGGGGAAAGGGACTCTCTGTTTCGATCCTATCGCAAGCGGGATTGCACCTTCGCGCGAAGGAAATTCCTTGCGACGGCGTTTGGGTGCTTCCTTACGTCCGCCACACGTTTCTTGCCGCGAAATGTGACTGGTCGGGGAGCCAAGAAGGGCGGGGGAAGCGGAACCTCCCGGAGGAGAGTTGGGGTGGGTGGGGAAGAGGGGGGGGGGGGGGGGAGGAGGGGAAGATTCAGGGTGGAAGAGGCACCTTCCCCAGGGGGATTTTTCCAGCGAAAGCGGTTGGAGGGACTAATAGACCGAATGGCACTGTCTTGATCCGTCTCGATCCATCGCTTTCGGTACGCGCGATTCGCCCTGAGCGTTCGAACCCCAGGCTTCAGGCTGTCATTCGTGTCCCTCCCCCGTCCTGTGATGCGACCTCTCGGGGATTCCTGACCCTCCCCTGTCTTGGATTATCGGCTACTTGGGAAACTCAGCGCTAGTTTGTGTGTTTTCAGCTATACCGAGCTCGCCATTCTCTCAAACCGTCGTGGTTCTATTTTCAGAAACCGACCTTCAATCCAAGGTGACCTTACGCGCCTTATGACGATTTTTTAGTCGCCTCAAAACTCAGAAAGCGACCTCTCATTCAAACTGACAGAGATAGGTAGACTTGACTTCACGCTGTGGATAGGCTGACCTTGGCGCTATCAGCGCGGTTCCTATTCGCGAGCCCTTGGAAAACCACCTCTAACCTTGTTGCTCTTGGGAATTCTCAAAAGTGAAAGTGACTTTCAAGCGACCTTGCTCGAGCCTCTTCCAAGCCTTCCTAACCAGCTCAACCCCACTCACGACCCTGACGTGTTTGCTCTCAAACCACGCTTGAGCTTCAGATAGGGACAGTTGCGGGAAAGGAGAAGGGGGATTGGTCTGAAATAAGATAGTTCTGTCGCACAGAGGGTGCTGTTCAGTGCATGTGTGAGTCTGGCGATGCCATGAACGGCGGAGTGAGCGGCAGTGTTACAGTCATGGCGCCTGGTGCTGCAACGGGGAAGCTAGGATGCATGGCTGCTGGGAATGGGACTGGCTGCTTTGGCCTTTCAAGAAAAGAGATGAAAATGGAGTGTGATAAACTGGGAGGGGAGAAGGGAAGCCATGGTGATGGTTGCTGGGAGAGTTGTTGCAGTTGGGAGGGCGAGGGTGGGCGTGGGAGTGAGAATGAGAAGAAGGGTGACAAGGGTGAGATGAGTCAGAAGAATGGCGAGACTGATAAGGAGGCCGGTTGTGAGAGAAATGGGAGTGAGAATGACAAGAGTCACAAGACTGAGCTTGTAAAGAGTGAGAAGGGTGAGAAGAATGAGAAGAGTGGGAATGAGAAGAATGAGAAGGAGGAAGTTCAACACGAGGCGACGATACCAATGGAGGAAGACTCGGCACCAGAGCCTGCTGCCAAGCATGCAGCCAGCGGCAGTGGCGGTACAGAGGAAGCTTATAAGGGGGACGGTGCTGAGGCGATGCAAGTTGAGGAGGTGGGAGATGATGGGGGATTCAGGGGCATGGAGGAAGTGGCGAGCACACCGGAACTACAGAGGGAGGTTAAGGGCGGAACCCAGACGTCCAGCAGCAGCAGTGATGGCATGCTGACTCAGCAAGTGAGGGAACCATTGATGCTGGCCGGCTTGCTGAGTCATTGCTCGACGAACAAGGTGGCGATGGATGGCGAAGAGTTATCGCGCCGTAACAGTATCAGTTACCGGAACAGCGAATCCCCAGCGCATGGGGAGGGCGAGTGCATGGGCAAAGGAGGTGCAGGAGAAGCAGGGAAAGAAGGTAAAGCAGGGGAAGCCGGGGAAGAGATGTATGACAAGGTGAATGCGGATGCACAGGCAGCAACAGCACATGCAGGAGACGCAGTGGCGGCGCGAGCAGCAACAGTAACAGCTGCAGCAGCACCATCAGCAGCAACACCAACAGCAATGCCAGCAGCACCAACAGCACCAATGGCACCACCAGTGGCAGCAATTGTACCAGCAGCAGCAAGCACGCGGGTGGTGAGCTGTGAGGAGCTGCAACGTCAGCTACAACCACTCCTGGCACACAAGACAGCCTCCTCCCCAAACCCCTCCCCTCGTTCCCTCCCCCGCTCCTCCGCCCACTCTCTGACCCGCCAGCACAAGCTGCCTATAAAGCGACCCTTCAATCACGCCCCTCTCGGTACGACTGCCGGTGGTGGTGCTGCTGGTGCTGCTGGTGCTGCTGCTGCAGCTATTGGTTCTAATACCACTGGCCCAGCGCTAGTATCCATGACTGCTGCCCATCCGCCTCTCACGCCAACTGCTGCCTCTTCCTCCGCTCCTGCTGCTCCCCACTCTCTTCCTCCTCCTCCTCCCCACACGCCCTCTGCAGCAACGTCGACAGCCCTGCCCGCCCTCCCCCCTCGCCCTGCCCCTCCGCCGCCCAGCCCTCTCTCCATCCCCATCGCCCTCTCCAGAGGCTTTCTCACCACCAGGCCGGCACAAGAGGACAAAGCAGGCCTAAACCCTAATCCCTCCTCTTCTCCTGCTTGGCGTCAGGCCGATCCGTTCAATCTCAGTGCTCCTTTCAGTCACACGAATCAATTGAATCACCACGTCGTGGGACAGAGGCAACACCAGCAGCAGCAGCAGTCATATGCCATTCCTTTCCTGAAATCCCCCCAACCGTCCGCCCGATCACCCCTCTCCCCACCTTCCCCATCGCAACGTTTCTCCCCACTCCACCGCTCTTCAACCCTCAACCGCCCCTCCAATCTTCTCCACTCCTCCCCTCTCTCTCCTCCTTCCCCCCTCCACCGTTCTCCTCTCCTTCCTCCTTCCCCTCTCCACCGCTCTTCCCCTCTCACCCATCTCCACCACTCCTCACCTCCCACCACCCTTATAAACCACGAGCTCGCCCATTTCTTCTCCTTACCTGAGCTCGATGCCTTCATGCTACACAGTAACTCCTCTCCCTGCGTCCTGCCCCTCGACCTCTCCCCGAGCCTCTCCATGCCGAACCAGCCTGTGCCGAACCTGGACCACATGCCGAGCCTGAGCTTGCCACCTCCGGCAACAGGCTTGGGAGAAGGTGGGGAGGCTGGGCATGGGGCGTTGAGGCTGGAAGGGGGAAAGGTGACTAATGGAGGAGAAGAGGAGAGGATGGGGGAGGAGCAAGTGAGGATTGTAGGAGAGGAGGTGAGGAGGAGAGAAGAGAAGGGTAGGGTGGAGGGAGAGGATAGGGAAATGGAGTGTGAAGGGGGTGATGGTTGCAACGGTGGTACTGATGGTGGTGATCAGAAGGGTGGCAGTATAGGTGGCGATATGGGCGATGTGGGTAATGGTGATGTGAGAAATGTGCGAGGAGGAGACATGATGACGTGTGGTGGAGCAGGGGTGCAAGATGAGTTGACAAACAGGAAGGAGGAAGGAGCGTTAACGGCAGCAGCCGCAGCACCCGCAGCATGTGTGAAGGCACCAGATACGGAGACCCTGACAACGCCAGCACTAGCAGCAGCAGCATCAGAATCAGCTGCAGCACCAGCAGCAACGGCAGCAACAGAATCACAAGCAGAACCAGCAGTAACACCAGCAGCATCGACACCCACTGAAGCAGCTCCTGGGACGACTCAAAACCATCAACAGCAGCAGCATCTGTTTCCCCTGTCTGCGGCTGCTGCTACTGCTCTTGTTGCTGCTGGTGCTGGTGCTGCTGTTATTGCTGTTGCTGGCGCTGGTGCTGGTACTGCTGTTGCAGCAAGTGCAGAGCAGCAGCAGCAGCAACAACAACAGCAGCAGCAGCAGCAGCAGCAGCAGCAGCAGGTGGTAGGGAGAGTGGATCAACAGAGGGTCCACGAGGAGAGGGAGAGGAACAAGGCCAGGTGGAAGGGGCTCATTGCATCTCATCCTCTTTATAAGCAGATGCTCAACGCACATGTGGCATGCCTTGAGGTATATAACTACCTCCACGCGTTGCTATGCATTCTCTCGTACCTGTCTTTCGAGGCACTTCAACACCCTGGTTCGTGTCGACCACCTCCTCCGGTTTCTGTTCTGCATGCTTCCTTCCATCCAGCTATCGGTCTCGCATGTTTGCCTCACACATCTTTCTCTCCCTTCCACCAAGTGGGCCACGCCACTATGTTAATGTTACTTTTGAGAATTCTTGAGAATTCTTGAGAATTCCTGAGAATTCTTGAGAATTCCTGAGAATTCTTGAGAATTCCTGAGAATTCTTGAGAATTCCTGAGATATTCTTGAGAATTCTCAAAAGTAACATCCCTTCCGCCAGGTGGGCCATGCCACTGGACCAGCTCCCCGCTGACTCAATTGTGGATGGCGTTTTGAGCCCCCCAAAACACATCCCGTAATCTCCTCTCCCACCCCCGCCACCCACTCTCGTACATGTTTCCCCCCTCCTTCACCTCCCTTCCACCAGGTGGCGACGCCACTGGACCAGCTGCCGCTGATTCAAGTGCAGATGGAGCGAGCAGGCCTCGTTGCCTCCACCTACACTCGCTTGCTCCACGCCTCCGCCCCCACCACCACCACCACCGCCACCGCCACCGCCACCGCCACCGCCACCACCACCGCCACCGCCACCGCTGCTGCTGGTGTTAACACCAACGGTACTGCTGACGCCTCTGCTAATGCCATCGGGCCTGCAAAATCAGGTGCTCCTGCTGCTGCTGGTTCTCCCTCTTCCACTCATACTGCCGCAGCAGCAGCAGGAGCAGCAGTAGCAGCAGCAGGAGGAGCAGCAAGTGTGGCTGGTCAGAAGTATGCTGCCAATGGGAACGTGCCATGTGGCGGTCAGGGGTTGGCGTCCGATACGGAAGAAGCCGAGCTGGACAACTTCATGGTGAGTCTGACACGACACGTGTGTGAGTTTGACACAACACAGTGCTTGTGTTGATTGCAACGTGATGTGCTTGTGCTGATTGCAACGTGAGAGGTCTCTTGAAACAACTGGGCTGCAGTGACGAGCAGCTTCTGAGCACGTGAGGAGCACATTCAGGTGCCACTTTGAGAATTCTCATAAGCATTGTCAGTACACGAGAGAGATCCACAGCTTCACCACAGCTCCTCACGTTTCGATTCTTCTTTTTCTGGGGGGCTCTGCACACAATCCAGATTCCTTTTCCTCATCCCTCCCCCCACTCTTGCCCTGGCCCACCTCACTCGAAACCAAACCAGGGTCAATTTGTGAAGCTTTCAAAGAGCAACTAGAGGAGCACATTCGGGTGCACGCCAGGGAAGCGGTTACCACATGCGCCTGGCTCAAGCATGCCGTTGCTGCTGCCGGCGGCGCTGCTGATAATCCACTCCCTCCCCCCCTTACTCCTCCAACCCCCCATGAACCAATCCAGGGTCAGTTTGTGAAGCTGCTGCGGGCATTCAAGGAGCAACTGGAGGAACACATTCGGGTGCACGCCAGGGAAGCGGTTACCACCTGCGCCCGGCTCAAGCATGCCGTTGCTGCTGCTGGCAGCACTGCTGCTGACAAGCTCGCTGCTTCTGGGGCCACCATGTCGGACGATGGAGGGGTGGGAGGGGGTAGGCCCAGCAGCAATGGGGGCATTAGAGCCTTGGAGGATGCATGCAACAGCCATGGGAATGGGCACACGCATGGGTATAATAATAGTCGTGGCAGTGGGTACAACAGCCAAGGGAATGGATATACCAGGCATGGTCAGGGGCTGTCTGAAAGCCATGGTCATGGGTGGAACGGTGCACTCAACCCCTTTGCCCCAGCTGCTACTGCTACTGCTGGTGGGGTTGGTGGTGGCAGTGGCGGTGGTGGTGGCAGCGGTGGGTGTAGCAGCATGTCAGGCTCGTTTCACTGTCAGCACCAGGGTTACTCGCAGCAGCAGCAGCAGCAGCAGCAGCAATATCAGCAGCAGCAGAGTCAATCCATGCATGCGGCCAATCAGCCCCTCACCCTCCTCCCACTTCCTCCACCACAACCTACCACGGGCATGGGAGCACCCATGGCATTCGGGGCAATGCAGGGCATGGGGGCGCATGATAACATGGGGACACATAGCAGCATGGGCATGGGGATGGGTTCGGGCATGGGCATGGACATGACTGGGAGCATGGGCACGAGCATGAGCATGGGGATGGGGATGGGGATGGGGATGGGGGGGGCACAGGACAGGAGTGCGGTGGAAGAGGCACTGCTCAAGGAATACGGCAGAGAGGTATGGTGATCCCAATCTTTTTCGTACTTTAGGATGGTTCAGAGTTGTGCCATCCTTGCAACACCTTGCATTTCTTGCAAATCCCATCCTTGAACATACTTCTATTGCCTCACAACACCTTGCAAATCCTTCCAACTCCCTGCAACGCCTTTCAACTCCTTGCACTGTCCTCAGGGGTTCCGCGCTCGCCTGCTGGGAGTGAGGGAGGAGATCATGCGCAAGAGGCGTGCGGGGAAGCTTCCAGGAAACACCACGCAGGTGCTCAAGGCGTGGTGGAACGAGCACATCCAGTGGCCCTACCCTACGGTGCGTCCCCCTGCTTGCCACGTCAGCAAGATCAGCAAGACAGCATGCCACGTAACTTCTGCCATGTGTGCATGTTTGTGCGTGCACACATGCAACAGGACATGTGACGGACGCTGTATGACCGTGCAACACAAGTGTGCATGTACGTGTGGCTGTGCCGGTCCATCCATGTCCATCTTTGTAAATTTTCTCTGCCTGTCTCTCTGCCTGTCTGTCTGTCCCCGCCCCTGTCTGTGTGCATGGGTACAGGAGGAGGAAAAGGTGGGGCAGATAGCGCAAACGGGCCTGGAGCTGAAGCAGGTGAACAACTGGTTCATCAACCAGCGCAAGCGCAACTCATGTGCTCACACCTATCTGTGTGTGTCTATCCCTCTGTCTGCCTGTCTCTGTCCATGTGCGTCAATACAGGAGGAGGAGAAGGCGGGGCTCATGGCACAGACGGGGCTGGAGCTGAAGCAGGTGAACAACTGGTTCATCAACCAGCGCAAGCGCAACTGGCACGGCAACCCCGCTGTCGCAGCGGCACAGCACAAAGGGCCCAAACAGGCCAAGCGCAAATGAGGGGGTGGGGCAGGAAGGGCAGAAGAGAGAGGAGATGGGGGGTGAGGGATGGGGACTGGGAGGTGCGGGGTTGGGGGGTGGGGGCGACACGGAAAGGGATGGGGAAAATCACAGTTGCGGCAGCGGCAGCAGCAGTAGCAGCAGCAGCAGCAGCTGTGGCGGCGACGGTGGCGGCAATAGTGGTGCTCTTTCTCACTCTTAGCAACATTTCTCACATGCATACTACGGTACTACTTACTAACCAGGCTGACTGGTCTATGGATCCTTCTTGCTTCTTGCTGTAGTCTGGGTCTTGTGCTGTTGCTGGCTGTACGGTATATGTCTGTGGTGGTGGAGTCAAACTGGTAATAATTGGCTATTTGTACTGTGATGTATCAACGGGAAGGATTGGTGTTGTGTTATGCCAGCACTTCACTATAACAAGATTGTTTGAGGAAACAACTGTCTTGGAAGACAAGCCTCAGCATGTATTTTGACTTCCACCTATTCGCATTGCTTTCTGTACTGTGTGTGTGACTCTCTCCACCGTAGTGAACAACCGATTACCGTATGGTTTTCACCCGTTAGAAATTGAATGTCCTGTTATGGCTCGGTCGGCTCGGCACGGTAATGAAACGACATCACATGGTACCTCGTTATGAACATCACAAAGACATGCGGGGGTACGGAACGGAGTCGTAATGATGCAAGCAAACCACTTGCTATTGATACGAGGTGGACCGTGGAAAGCGTTACAGAATGAACTTGGAGACATCAACCTTCTGCAACAAGTCACCCAGCGAGGTGACTTTTGAGTCGACTCAAAAGGAAAGCGTTACAGAATGAACTTGGAGACATCAACCTTCTGCAAGAAGTCACCCAGCGAGGTGACTTTTGAGTCGACTCAAAAGGAAAGCGTTACAGAATGAACTTGGAGACATCAACCTTCTGCAACAAGTCACCCAGCGGCCGGCGAACATCCTGAGAGAGGAGCAGGGGAGTGTGGAAGCATGGGTGGTGGAGTCAAAGAGAATAGGCATGGAGTGGAGACAAATACGGTGGATCGGAGGCAAGGAGACAGGCCGTGAAAATTCAGAACAGAATAGAAGGGACAGCTCTTACGGTTCGACCTACACCAGCAGTTTTTTGGGCGAACATATAAAGCCAAACACAAGCCATAACTCAAGAAAACTTTGGAAAGCAAGCAGGCAGGCAGCGCACCTCTTGATCCACCACGCATGTCTCGCCCTTCTTCTCGGGCGCATGGAAGCTAATGTCCTCCACCACCCGCTCCAGCACCTGCCGTGGTGCCAGGGGGGGTAAGCAAGGGGAAGCAAGGGCATGCAAGGGGTTGCAAGGCAATGGGGGAAGGTGAGCATAGGGTTTTGAGATGCTGCTAGCGCTCTCGGGCGCATGGAAGCTAATGTCCTCCACCACCCGCTCCAACACCTGCCGTGGTTCCATGGGGGGTTTAGCATGTAAAGGGATGCAAGGCGATGGGGGAAGGTGGGCATGACAGTAGGGCGCATCGATTCTCAGTGGAGAAGGCATGGAGTACCAGAGCTTAACTGGGGTGTATGCAGGGATGCAGGCATGCAAATCCCAGCAGAAATGAAGACCACTCACAGCACAGCCCTCCCCGTCCAATACCCCGTTCCCATCGGTCCTCGCACTAAGTCTGACTCACCGTATGCAAACTCGCAATGAGACATGTCAACACCAATGTGTGTCCTATCACCCAGTCTCACCCAGTCTCACCCAGTCTCACCCAGTCTCACCCAGCTACAATGAGTCCTACTCACCGTGTGCAACCTTCTTGCACCAATGTTGTCCAACGTGTGATTGATCTGCGACCCATCCATCCACACATGCATGCACGCACACATGCATGCAAGCACACAAGCACACAATCACGCACAGGAGAGCACTCTTAAGCCCAGAATCGTTGCAAAATCCTGGGAACACCAAAGAGACTGTTTTCGAGTTGACAGGACATCACAGAGAATGGGAACACGCACACCAGAAGGCTGTGAGCAGGCTTGGTGAGGTAGGCGTACCAAAGCACCTCACCAACCACAATGCAAGCAGCACCACAACCACACCTCAGCACCGCATGCCACACCTCAGCACTGCATGCCACACCTCAGCACCGCATGCCACACCTCAGCACTGCATGCCACACCTCAGCACCGCATGCTACACCTCACCACTGGATGTCACACCGCAGCATCGCATGCTACACCTCAGAACGTACCTCAGCAGCCATGGCAGCAGCCTCCCTGATAGCGGAATCCGTGAAGACAAGCTCAACCCCCTCCGTGGCCATCAGCTGCTGCTGCTCGCAACACCACAACCACCACGGGCTATCCCCCCACACACACCGCATACCACACCTTTGCACTGGATGGCACGCCTCAACGTACCTCAGCAGCCATGGCAGCAGCCTCCCTGATGGCAGACTCGGTGAATACAAGGTCAACCCCCTCCGTGGCCATCAGCAGCTGCTGCTGCCGAATCATGTTCGCTTCAGGCTCCGTCAGAATGCGGTACAGATCCTGATGTGAGGGGGGAAGAGAAAGAGGGAAGGGGAGTGGAAGAGACATGTGACCCTCGTTTCTCAAAAGCACCTCTCGCCCCTCACTTGTGGGTAAAGCAAAGCCCCTTAAGCCTCACCAATGTTGAGACTCCCCCACGCCCAACTCACTGCCTGTCAGCATGTTGGAGGAGTGGCAGGTGGTGAAAGCACCTTCAACTTACCTCTGAAAGATCCCTTGACTCTCACCTCTCTGGTGAGCCCTTTGAGCTCCACGCGGATGGGCAGGCGCCCCTGCAGCTCTGCCAGCATGTCAGAGGGGCGGCAGGCGGTGAAAGCACCGCTGGCGATGAAGAGGATGTGATCCGTGTTGACGTTGCCGTGCTTGGTGGATACCACACTGATGGGGGGAAGAGGGGGGGGAGAATGGGGGAACAGGGTTAAGGATGGCGGGCAGAGGGGCAGTAGAACGTGAATGCCCACTAGCGATGAAGGATGTGATCCGTGTTGACGTTGCCGTGCTTGGTGGATACCACACTGATGGGGGGAAGAGGGGGGGAAGAATGGGGGAACAGGGTTAAGGATGGCGGGCAGAGGGGCAGTAGAACGTGAATGCCCACTAGCGATGAAGGATGTGATCCGTGTTGACGTTGCCGTGCTTGGTGGATACCACACTGATGGGGGAGGAGAGCATGGGCAGAAAGAGGATTTTTGAGTCGACTCAAAAATCGACTTATCACACATTGGTGGATACGACACTGATGGGGGAGCGGAGTGTGGGCAGAAAGAGGAAGGATGCGGGAAGCAAGGGCCAGGATGGGGTCCACCCCACCTACCTGCCCTCAATGATGGGCAGCAGGTCCCGCTGCACGCCCTCAGCGCTCGCATCAGCACCATGCCATGGCCATTCTGCGCACATGGACTATGCACAATGCCATACTTACCTCCCTTCAAAACGATACCCCACCTACCTCCCCTCAATGATGGGCAGCAGGTCCCGCTGCACGCCCTCAGCGCTCGCATCAGCACCATGCCATAGCCATGACGCCATACCTACCTCCCTGCAAGGATGCATGCACCCCTACCTCCCTGCAAGGATGCACCCCTACCTCCCTGCAAGGATGCACCCCTACCTCCCTTCAGTGATAGCAGCACGCCCCACCTACCTCCCCTCAATGATGGGCAGCAGGTCCCGCTGCACGCCCTCAGCGCTCGCATCAGCGCCGTGCCGTGTGTCACTGGAATGCACGATCTTGTCAATCTCGTCAATGAACACTATGCCCTCAGACTCCGTTGCCTGCAGCACGGGGGAGGGAGCACGGGGGAGGGAGAATCATCACCGCGTGTCACTGGAATGCACGATCTTGTCAATCTCGTCAATCAACACTATGCCCTCCGACTCCGTTGCCTGAAAAGGGAAAGCAGGTGGGGGGGGAAGGGCAGGGTGGGAGGGAGAAGGGGAGGAGGAGGGAGAAGGAGAGCAGAAATTGTGTAGTGTAGGTCTTGTCGGCGAGTACAATGTTGATGCTCGTCCATGTCGCATTACAGTTGGTTCTCATCAATTCTCAATAAACATTTACTTACTCAGATTCCAGGACTAGTATGCCCTCCCTCTCTCCACCAGCAAAGCTCCCCCCCCCTCTCTCACCTGAATGGTGTCCTTCACGAGCGATTCAGACGACAGCCGCTTCTCCATCTCCGTGTCGGTCAGTGCTACCCTCGCCTCCCTGCACAACTGCAAACAAGCTTCAACACCCCCATCTCTCCTCTCACCTGGATCGCGTCCTTCACGAGCGACTCAGACGACAGCCGCTTCTCCATCTCTGCGTCAGTCAGCGCTGCCCTTGCCTCCGCCACTGTAAGGTCCTTCTTCTCCCTCCGCGCTCCCTTCACCACTCGCTCCATCTGATGCCCAGCAGGAAACAGGAGATTGGGGGAAAGTGGGGAATAAGATGGAGAGGGAAGAAGAATCCCTCTTCTCCCCCCCCGCGCACCCACCACACACACGCTCCATCTGATACCTGATACCTCAGATGGAGAAAACGAAGGGAAGAGGAGGGGAAGTAGGGGTGCAAAGAAGGGAGGTGCACTCCACCCACCCACTACAGTCTTCACCCACCCACGTGCCACATCCACCCACCCCACCCACCCACTGCACCACCCACCCCACTCACCCACCCACCCACCACCCACCCGCTGAACAAAGTCATGCACGTTGAGCCCCGCTGCGCCCGACATGTCAATGGCGAATCCGCCCAGACCGCCCGAGGGAGCGGCGTCAGGCAGCTCCATGTGCACGCGCCTGTCGTCCAACACTCCCTCCCTGTACAGCAGGCGAAAGGTCTCCCTGGAAGGGGGTGTCTGGGTGCCATTCGGGGGAAGAGAGGGCGGGGAGGAGGGAGGGGGGGGGGGGGGCATCAGCAGCAGCAGCGGCAGCAACACCAGCAGAAGCAGAAGAACAGCAGCAGCACCCCCACGATTATCAGCAGCAGGAGCAGCATCACTAGAGGGAGCGGCGTCAGGCAGCTCCATGTGCACTCGCCTGTCGTCCAACACTCCCTCCCTGTACAGCAGGCGAAAGGTCTTCCTTTTGGGTGGGGCCGACTGAGAAGGGAGACAAACGAGAGGAGGGAGGGAGGGAGGGATGAGAGCGTGTGGGGTAAGCAGGCCACAAACCAAGAGAGGGAGCCAGGGTGGTGCAGAATCTTGATCTCCACCACCCGCTCCACCTCCTGTGCACTGCATTACCTACATTGGCTGACGCATCGACCCGTTAACTGCAAAGACTCACAAGCTGCCCCGTTGACTGCGTTGACTTACCAGCTGACAGGTGGTGAAGTGCATGAACTGACAAGCTGACCTGTTGACTGCATGGACTGACAAGGCCCACTGACTGCGCTGGCTCACAAGCTTACACGTTGACCGCGTTGACCAGCTTGACTCACCGCGCCCGGCTGTAGCGCGCCCAGCAGATGGTCCAGAATCTTGTTCTCCACCACCTCCTCCACCTCCTTGGCCGCCTTGGCCCGAGCCTAAGGCGGAGGTTCGGGTCGGGAGTGATGAGCAGGTGCACAACGAGAGAGGGGTTTGAATAGAGCGCATCAGATTCTCTCTCCTTCCCTCGAACCACACACCCAGAAAATGCAGTTGAGAAGAAAGTAGAAAAGGAGGTTCAGGAAAAAAAATCGGATGGAATGGAATGTCCCAACCCAAGGAAGCTAATTTGATTGGCAGAATGGCGTTCCCCTCCCCAGCAGGTTCCATTGTCCCAAGGAAGCTACAGATCCGATGTTACAGACACCTCCAGAGTCGCCTGAGGCTCCCCACAAAACCTTTCTCGTACCTTCTGCCTCTGCAGCTGAATGGCGTTTTCCAGCAAGTCCCGAATGATCTGATCCACGTCGCGCCCGTGAAAGCCCACCTCTGTGAACTTGGTCGCCTCCACCTGTCGTCAGGGAGTGCGGTGCAGTGCACGAGGCAGATTTCACGCACACACCCAACGACACACACACGGGCACACACAGGGATGCATTCATTGTTAGAAGGGACCTAGTTGCGCCCGTGAAAGCCCACCTCTGTGAACTTGGTCGCCTCCACCTGTCGTCAGGGAGTGCATTGCATTGCACGAGGCAGATTGCACGCAGACACATGGACACACGGGGACACACATGCTCGTGGAGGCACACGCTTGAGATGGCTCAAACCAGCCGAGCACAACTTGATGAAGGGTGCATGGACGAGTTTCAGTAACAATGGTAACTGCTGAGTCGACTCGAACGTCCTCCAGTCAACACTTTTCAAACCCGACAAGTCAAGCGCACCTTGACAATGGGGGCATGGATGAGCTTGGCAAGGCGCCGTGCGATCTCAGTCTTGCCACAGCCTGTAAGGCCGACCATGCGCAACCTCGTGGTCACGACCTCGTGAGTCGACTTACAACTGGTTTGCTCAGGAGGACGGCTAAAACGTGGCATGGCGGGCATACCTTGACAAAGGGCACATGGATGAGCTTGGCAAGGCGCTGGGCAATTTTGGTCTTCCCGCAGCCAGTGGGGCCAACCATGAGGATGTTCTTTGGTTTGGCACCACCTCGTCCCTCATGGCAAGCATACCTTGACAAAGGGCGCATGGATGAGCTTGGCAAGGCGCCGGGCGATTTCGGTTTTCCCACAGCCGGTGGGGCCGACCATGAGGATGTTCTTGGGAACCACCTCGTCCCTCATGGAACCACTAATGCGCTTCCGCCGCCACCTGTAGGGGGATAGGGGTGGAGGGGAAGGCAGGGGTGGGAGGGAGGACAGGCCAGTTGTGAGACGTCTCAGGGAGGGCTCGTCCCACAGCCAGTGGGGCCGACCATGAGGATGTTCTTTGGAACCACCTCGTCCCGCATCGCTCCGCTGATGCGCTTCCGCCGCCACCTGTTGCGAAGGAGAGCAGAGGTGGGAGAGAGGAGAGGCAAGGTCTGAGACATCTTGAGACTCCTGCTTGCTGCAGCCAGTGGGCCGGCCAACCTTGGGGACGTTCTAATGGCCCTCACGGCCAACCTTGGGGACGTTCTAATGGCCCTCACGGCCAACCTTGGGGACGTTCTAATCCTGCGCCCCCCTCGCCTCGCCCCTCATGGCCCCATTGATTCGCATCCTGTTGAGGTGCAGGTTTGAGGTGCAGATTTGAGGTGCAGGTTTGAGGTGCAGGTTTGAGGTCAGGTTTGACGTGCAGGTTTGAGGTGCAGGTTTGAGGTGCAGTTTTGAGGCCAGGTTTGACATGCAGGTTTGAGGTCAGGTTTAACGTCAGGTTTGACGTCAGGTTTGAGGTGCAGGTTTGAGGTGCAGGTTTGTGGTCAGAATTGAGGTGCAGGTTTGAGGTGCAGGTTTGTGGTCAGGTTTGAGGTGCAGGTTTGAGGTCAGGTTTGAGGTGCAGGTTTGAGGTCAGGTTTGACGTGCAGGTTTGAGGTGCGGGTTTGAGGTCAGGTTTGAGGTGCAGGTTTGAGGTGCAGGTTTGAGGTGCAGGTTTGAGGTGCAGGTTTGAGGTCAGGTTTGAGGTCAGGTTTGACGTGCAGGTTTGAGGTGCAGGTTTGAGGTCAGGTTTGAGGTGCAGGTTTGAGGTGCAGGTTTGAGGTCAGGTTTGAGGTGCAGGTTTGAGGTCAGTTTTGAGGTCCGGTTTGCGGTGCAGGTTTGAGGTGCAGGTTTGACGTCAGGCTTGACGTCAGGTTTGAGGTCAGGTTTGACATCAGCTTTGATGTCAGGTTTGACGTCAGGTTTGACGTCAGGATTGAGGACAGGTTTGACGTCAGGTTTGAGGTCAGGTTTGAGGTCAGGTTTGAGGTACAGGTTTGAGGTGCAGGTTTGAGGTGCAGGTTTGAGGTCAGGTTTGAGGTGCAGGTTTGAGGTGCAGGTTTGAGGTCAGGTTTGAGGTCAGGTTTGAGGTCAGGGTTGACGTAAGGTTTGACGTCAGGTTTGACGTCAGGTTTGACGACATGTTTTACGTCAGGTTTGACGTCAGGTTTGAGGTCAGGTTTGAGGTGCAGGTTTGAGGTGCAGGTTTGAGCTGCAGGTTTGAGGTGCAGGTTTGAGGTGCAGGTTTGAGGTTCAGGTTTGTCGTCAGGTTTGACGTCAGGTTTGAGGTGCAGGTTTGAGGTGCAGGTTTGAGGTGCAGGTTTGAGGTCAGGTTTGAGGTGCAGGTTTGAGGTCAGGTTTGAGGCCAGGTTTGACGTCAGGTTTGAGGTCAGGTTTGAGGTCAGGTTTGACGTCAGGTTTGACGACAGGTTTGACGTCAGGTTTGAGGTCAGGTTTGAGGTCAGGTTTTACGTCAGGTTTGACGTCAGGTTTGAGGTCAGGTTTGAGGTGCAGGTTTGAGCTGCAGGTTTGAGCTGCAGGTTTGAGGTGCAGGTTTGACGTCAGGTTTGAGGTCAGGTTTGACGTGCAGGTTTGAGGTGCAGGTTTGACGTGCAGGTTTGACGTCTGGTTTCATGTCAGGTTTGATGTCAGGTTTGACATCAGGTTTGACGTCAGGTTTGAGGTGCAGGATTGAGGTGCAGGTTTGAGGTGCAGGTTTGAGGTCAGGTTTGAGGTGCAGGTTTGACTTCAGGTTTGACGTCAGGTTTGAGGTCAGGTTTGACGTGCAGGTTTGAGGTGCAGGTTTGAGGTGCAGGTTTGAGGTGCAGGATTGAGGTGCAGGTTTGAGGTGCAGGTTCGAGGTGCAGGTTTGAGGTGCAGGTTTGAGGTGCAGGTTTGAGGTGCAGGTTTGAGGTACAGGTTTGTCGTCAGGTTTGACGTCAGGTTTGAGGTGCAGGTTTGAGGTCAGGTTTGAGGTGCAGGTTTGAGGTCAGGTTTGAGGTCAGGTTTGAGGTCAGGTTTGACGTCAGGTTTGACGTCAGGTTTGAGGTCAGGTTTGAGGTCAGGTTTGACGTCAGGTTTGAGGCGCAGGTTTGACGTCAGGTTTGAGGTCAGGTTTGAGGTCAGGTTTGACGTCAGGTTTGACGTCAGGTTTGACGTCAGGTTTGAGGTCAGGTTTGAGGTCAGGTTTTACGTCAGGTTTGACGTCAGGTTTGAGGTCAGGTTTGGGGTGCAGGTTTGAGGTGCAGGTTTGAGCTGCAGGTTTGAGGTGCAGGTTTGAAGTGCAGGTTTGAGGTGCAGGTTTGAGGTCAGGTTTGACGTCAGGTTTGACGTCAGGTTTGATGTCAGGTTTGAGGTGCAGGTTTGAGGTGCAGGTTTGAGGTGCAGGTTTGAGGTGCAGGTTTGAGGTGCAGGTTTGAGGTCAGGTTTGAGGTCAGGTTTGAGGTCAGGTTTGAGGTCAGGTTTGACGTCAGGTTTGATGTCAGGTTTGACGTCAGGTTTGATGTCAGGTTTGACGTCAGGTTTGAGGTGCAGGTTTGAGGTGCAGGTTTGAGCTGCAGGTTTGAGGTCAGGTTTGAGGTGCAGGTTTGACGTCAGGTTTGAGGTCAGGTTTGAGGTCAGGTTTGACGTCAGGTTTGACGTCAGGTTTGACGTCAGGTTTGAGGTCATGTTTGAGGTGCAGGTTTGAGCTGCAGGTTTGAGCAGCAGGTTTGAGGTGCAGGTTTGACATCAGGTTTGACGTCTGGTTTGAGGTCAGGTTTGACGTCAGGTTTGAGGTGCAGGTTTGAGGTGCAGGTTTGAGGTGCAGGTTTGAGGTGCAGGTTTGAGGTGCAGGTTTGAGGTGCAGGTTTGAGGTGCAGGTTTGAGGTGCAGGTTTGAGGTGCAGGTTTGAGGTCAGGTTTGAGGTGCAGGTTTGAGGTCAGGTTTGAGGTCAGGTTTGAGGTCAGGTTTGACGTCAGGTTTGACGTCAGGTTTGAGGTCACGTTTGAGGTCAGGTTTGACGTCAGGTTTGACGTCAGGTTTGAGGTGCAGGTTTGAGGTGCAGGTTTGAGGTGCAGGTTTGAGGTGCAGGTTTGAGGTGCAGGTTTGAGGTGCAGGTTTGAGGTCAGGTTGGAGGTGCAGGTTTGAGGTCAGGTTTGAGGTCAGGTTTGAGGTCAGGTTTGACGTCAGGTTTGACGTCAGGTTTGAGGTCACGTTTGAGGTCAGGTTTGACGTCAGGTTTGACGTCAGGTTTGAGGTGCAGGTTTGACGTCAGGTTTGAGGTCAGGTTTGAGGTCAGGTTTGACGTCAGGTTTGACGTCGGGTTTGACGTCAGGTTTGAGGTCAGGTTTTACGTCAGCTTTGACGTCAGGTTTGAGGTCAGGTTTGGGGTGCAGGTTTGAGGTGCAGGTTTGAGCTGCAGGTTTGAGGTGCAGGTTTGACGTGCAGGTTTGAGGTGCAGGTTTGAGATCAGGTTTGACGTCAGGTTTGACGTCAGGTTTGAGGTGCAGGTTTGAGGTGCAGGTTTGAGGTGCAGGTTTGAGGTGCAGGTTTGAGGTGCAGGTTTGAGGTCAGGTTTGAGGTCAGGTTTGAGGTCAGGTTTGAGGTGCAGGTTTGAGGTGCAGGTTTGAGGTCAGGTTTGAGGTTAGGTTTGATGTGCAGGTTTGAGGTGCAGGTTTGAGGTCAGGTTTGACGTCAGGTTTGATGTCAGGTTTGACGTCAGGTTTGATGTCAGGTTTGACGTCAGGTTTGAGGTGCAGGTTTGAGGTGCAGGTTTGAGGTGCAGGTTTGAGGTCAGGTTTGAGGTGCAGGTTTGAGGTGCAGGTTTGAGGTCAGGTTTGAGGTTAGGTTTGATGTGCAGGTTTGAGGTGCAGGTTTGAGGTCAGGTTTGAGGTGCAGGTTTGAGGTCAGGTTTGAGGTGCAGGTTTGAGGCGCAGGTTTGAGGTCAGGTTTGACGTGCAGGTTTGAGGTCAGGTTTGAGGTCAGGTTTGAGGTCAGGTTTGACGTCAGGTTTGACGTCAGGTTTGAGGTCAGGTTTGAGGTCAGGTTTGACGTCAGGTTTGAGGTCAGGTTTGAGGTGCAGGTTTGAGGTGCAGGTTTGAGGCGCAGGTTTGACGTCAGGTTTGAGGTCAGGTTTGAGGTCAGGTTTGACGTCAGGTTTGACGTCAGGTTTGACGTCAGGTTTGAGGTCAGGTTTGAGGTCAGGTTTTACGTCAGGTTTGACGTCAGGTTTGAGGTCAGGTTTGGGGTGCAGGTTTGAGGTCAGGTTTGAGGTGCAGGTTTGAGGTCAGGTTTGAGGTCAGGTTTGAGGTCAGGTTTGAGGTGCAGGTTTGAGGTCAGGTTTGAGGTGCAGGTTTGAGGTGCAGGTTTGAGGTCAGGTTTGAGGTGCAGGTTTGAGGTCAGGTTTGAGGTCAGGTTTGAGGTCAGGTTTGACGTCAGGTTTGACGTCAGGTTTGAGGTCAGGTTTGAGGTCAGGTTTGACGTCAGGTTTGAGGTCAGGTTTGAGGTGCAGGTTTGAGGTGCAGGTTTGAGGCGCAGGTTTGACGTCAGGTTTGAGGTCAGGTTTGAGGTCAGGTTTGACGTCAGGTTTGACGTCAGGTTTGACGTCAGGTTTGAGGTCAGGTTTGAGGTCAGGTTTTACGTCAGGTTTGACGTCAGGTTTGAGGTCAGGTTTGGGGTGCAGGTTTGAGGTCAGGTTTGAGGTGCAGGTTTGAGGTCAGGTTTGAGGTCAGGTTTGAGGTCAGGTTTGAGGTGCAGGTTTGAGGTCAGGTTTGAGGTGCAGGTTTGAGGTGCAGGTTTGAGGTCAGGTTTGAGGTGCAGGTTTGAGGTCAGGTTTGAGGTCAGGTTTGAGGTCAGGTTTGACGTCAGGTTTGACGTCAGGTTTGAGGTCAGGTTTGAGGTCAGGTTTGACGTCAGGTTTGAGGTCAGGTTTGAGGT